AAACAGACACGTACACAGATGCGTAGTTCATACGATTTCTTATAATATCACGGATTTATCGTCTATACATTTTTACAAGTTACGATTAATAAATAGGAACTATCGTTTCAAATCACTTAATTATTTTAATCGACTAATAATGATATTTATTGATTATTTAAATTTATATTAAAGTTAAGAAATTAATATCAGGATTCGTTTCGACAAATTTAGATAATTTTACTTTGTAATACCATAAGTTATATTTTATTAGAATTATTTTCATAAGGTTCATAAGAACTTGTAATGAATATATACGTAACAACTTTTAATGAAACGTATTTTTTGAGTATTAAAAGCAAATTTTTTTCTCTAAATATACATATTAAAAACAAAAAAACAAAAAAAAAAACAGAACAAGTATTGCACTTGAAGCATAAGTAATCGAAATTCTTTATATAGAAAAAGTATCAGGATAAAAATTTTAAATTTAAAAATAAAAATATTAATCTAAATTTACATATATATATATATATATATATTGTATATATTGTATATATTGTATATATTGTATATATTGAAGATGTGTATATTTGCTCGTTTCAGATTGACGTTCTTGGTGGTTGCCTCACAGATTTTACTTTCACCAAAGAGGGCGACGTACAAATTGTACATAAAAACAGAAATTTAAATCACTGCTCTAATAGGGAAAATATTAAGCAAGGACTGTTTTCGGGCGTGGTCAATCCCTCAGCTGGAATTCAATCTACTCCCCTCGTCGGAGCTCACCAAGAAGTTCAGCTGCGATTTAAGAACGGAGTTCTCGAGAAGGCCGTCTCAACGGAAACATATAAGCTTAGGCCTTTTAGTAATGGCGATGCTGGAGCTAAGACAGTTATTGAAACGACATTAACGTTCAAGGGGAAAAAGGAGGACAGTCCAACCGCACCCGTATCACTGCCAAAATCACTAATTTTCGAGCCCCCTCATCCAGTAATTAAATCATCAGTGGAGAGCATTGAAAAAGCTTTGCAGCCAATTCACAAGGATGATGCGGAAGCTGTGAAACCAGAGGAAGCGCGAAAATTTTCCGAACTTATCAGAGTTTTGCGAACTAGTAACAAAAACGACATTCTCACGGTTTACCATAGAATAAAAGCTGGCGCCGGCTATGACAAAGAAAGGGACAAGAACGCCCTTTTGGATGCACTGTACCGCACTGGTACTGGCGAGTCTGCCGAGGTCGTTGTCGAGCTCATCAAAAATAAGGAAATCAGCCATTTGCAAGCCCTTCTTTATTACAGCAATCTTGCTTTCATTCAGCACGTGAATCTAGCGTCGGTGACGGCTATAGTGACGCTTTTGGATCAGCCGAATTTGGCGCGCGTAGGATATCTCGGTATCGGTCAAATAATCGGCAGATACTGCCAATATCATTCCTGTCAAAATGTCCCTGAAATTAAGAGTGCGTTGGAGAAGATCGTGGCCAAGGTTAAAGACGGAAAAGCCGACAAACGCTCGGATGAAAATGTCATCGTCGCTGCATTAAAAGGCCTGGGTAACGCTAAGTATCTCGACGACGCAACGTTGGAAAAGCTCGCGAATATCGCGGCAGACAAGGGGGTTCGCAATCGGGTTCGCGTCGCTGCGATCGAAGCTTTACCAACTAAATGCTCGATGGTTTGGAAAAATGTACTTTTCAAGACCTTTGCCGATCAAGAGGAGGATAGCGAAATTCGAATCAAAACTTATCTATCATTTGTCTCGTGTCCTTGCGTCAAGGTTGCGAAAGAGATCAAGGAGGTATTGGATAACGAGAAAGTTTATCAGGTCGGATCTTTCATAACTTCGCACTTGCGTAATCTTCGAGCATCGGCCGATCCGTTTAAGCAAGATGCCAAGGCGCACTTTGGCCAAATAAAGTCACGCACGAAATTCCCCGAGGATTTTCGTAAGTTTTCATTCAACAATGAATTATCTTACAGCTTAGATGCTTTCGGAATTGGCGCTACAGCCGAGAGGAACGTTATCTTCAGTCAAAATAGCTTCGTTCCGCGCTCGGCGACATTGAACTTAACCACGGAAATCTTCGGGCACTCTTTCAATTTCTTAGAGCTGAGCACGCGCGCCGAGAATCTCGATCGTTTAATCGAGCATTTCTTCGGGCCTAAGGGCACCGTTGCCGTTCAGAAGCCGCTGGATATTGCAAAGAATGCCTACAGGGGCTTAAACGAGCTGCCGTTATATATTTTGAAACGCTTCGAGACCAGCATGCGGGCAAAACGCGACGTAAAGCAAGCGGATCTCGACAAGTTTTCTAATAGCGTGCAATTGAGAGGTAACGAGGTCGATGAAAATGTCGATCTTGATTTGTCGATTAAATTGTTTGGCGCTGAATTGGCATTTTTGAGTTACGAAGGTACGGGCAAGACGTACAATTCCCAGCAAATCGTTGATAAAATTTTTTCATGCTTCGATCAAGCCGTTAACAAGATAAAAAACTTAAATTACGATATTGAAAAGCACATTTACTTCCTTGACGCTGAATTCATCTATCCGACCGGATTGGGCGTTGCTCTGAATTTGGGACTTACTGGCTCAAGCGTTGTACGCACAAAGATCAACAGCAAAATTGACATTCCGGCAATCTTCAAGAATCCGAAGAACGCTGCTGTTAAAATCGCCATCGAGCCAAGTGCGTCCGTGGAATTGGTTGGCGATATCGTTGTCGCCGATGGTTTTGGAGCCGAATCGGGAATAAAGCTCGTAACAACATTGCACACTGCCACTGGTTACGATTTAAATGTTAAGAACCTCGATGGTAAGGGCATCGACGTGAGTCTCGGAGTACCAAAGAGAAAGCAGGAAATAATTAGTATATCAAGCGATGTATTGTACAGTAGCGGCAAGCCGAACAATTACAGCCCCGTTAAGTTTAGCAAGGGAAAGGAGAGATCGGATTGCTTTGATCAATTCACCGCCCCATTGGGATTCACCGTCTGTGGCCACATTTCTTATCCGTACGATAATATCGCCGCTTTACAAAAGAAACCCCTGTATCCACTCAACGGGCCCTTCAAATTCTACGTGACCGTCGAAAACAATGACGTAACCAGTTATCATTTCAAGGCTTTGTATAATGATAAAAATCCTAAAGATCGCTCATTGGAGATTCTTCTGGAAACGCCGAATAGCCGAACGAGCCGTTATGTTTCTCTTATGTTGCAGGCTGCCGTCGAGCCAGAATTTAAAGTTAAATTTTTATTCGATTCGCCGATTAATAAAGCATCGGCGGAGGCTCTCGTTAAACGAGACGCCCAAGAGCAGAGTTTGACGGTGACGATTAGAAACGGGCAAATCGAATATTTTGCGCGCGTTGGAGTTGAGGCGCTAGGGGGAAGTAAATATAAGCCTGTTTTGGAATACAAAGTCCCCGAGCACATTGAGAAGCTCGCTGGCTTGAAAGCCGATAAGAAGGCAAGTGGCAAGGGAGGCCAAGTTCATCAAGTCGAGGGAAGCGTGGAAGTGGCCGATCACGATGGCGGCAAGAAGTACGTATTCAACGACGTTCAATTGATCTCAAATGGTCATAAGATTATTGGAATCGATGGCAATGCCGTCTCCACCCCAAAGTCCATTGAGATCGACGTGAGCCTCAGCTACACGAATGAAAAATTAGGTTTTAAAGTCGATGGGAAGCGTCTTGGAGAGCATCAGTATGTGCTATCAGCCTCCGCCTTACCATCCAAGAATCCGGAAAATTCATTCGGCATCGAATGGGACTATCATCGCCAAAAGACACGATGGGATCATAAATTTGCCTTTGTACAGGGCGCTGACTTGAAATCGAATGATCATCGACTGCAGCTCACCCAGAGCGCTGAATATAATTTCGAGCCCAGCCAATTTTCATTATCAACGAAGAACAAGCTCACTTATCCGAAAGCAGCGCTCGTGGTGAAATTTGACGGTGCCTTGAACAAACAGTCCTTAAAAACCGAAGCGGAATTTAAATATGATAAATTCAAATTCGGGGCGGAACTTGCTGGTAAAATAAATGTCAACAAAGTCGGTGACTATGACGTTGAATTCAATGCCGAAGTTCTTGAAAATAAAGTGAAGCTTTTATCGAAGAGATCGATTGTCGACGAGACGACAAGTAAATTTGAAAATCTTTTAAAATTAACGCCCGGCGGTACGTATCAAGCCGACGCGACAATCAAGTGGCAAGTGAAGAAAAATGACGTCAACGTAGTCGTTGGAGCGGATATTAATCTTAATAGCAAGAAAATCAAGCTGGATACGGGTTTTGAGCACGTGCCCGAGAAACTCAACAATTACGTTCAAATAATTGGCAACGGGGTTAAGTATGTCGATTACAGTCTAAAGATTCATAAAGGACTGGAGCCCACGGGTGATCTTATTCTTAATTTGAAGAATTATTTGACAACCAGCGGCCATTTTGCGTATAAAAGCGGCACGGGCAATGCCGAAATTACAATTAATATCCCGAAAATTAATCGGGAAATAAAGGGCGACGGGATCGTTAGCATATCAGGTAGCAAATATAATGCAAAATTAGGACTTGCTTACGATGCCAGTAAGGATCCGAGCAAAAAAATCGAGATAAACACAATGACCGATTTGACAAGGAATTCGATCTCATCGAACAACGTTATTAAAATTTTGACGTACAAGACCGAAGTCAATTTGTTGGGAAACCGCGAGGGCGACCTATACAATGGCAAGCAAAACGGAATCGTCGACATTCTGTTGCCGAATGGCCGATATTTAATGTGGAAAATCGATCGCACAGCCGCGAGAAAAGATGATAAAATTGAAGCTAAGGGCATGTTCGAGGTAGCCGATTACGTAACCAAGGGCGGCGAGGGCAAAAAATTAATCGTTAACTTCAATGCTAATATCGCGAGTGTAAAGGAGCGACTGTTCGATACTGCCTATCAGATTAAATATGTCCATAACAATGGCAAGGATCTCATACTCGATATAACGGGCAAGAATCTCGCGCAACCCAATTCGGAAAAGAAATCCGGAGCAGCGAACGTCAAAGTATCGGGCAGTTTCGTTCCATACACAGCTGGCGTCACCGCCGCAGCCGACTATGAACGCAAAAACGTCGCTTTCAAGGGCACCGCTTATAGAGGGAGCGACTTTGTCATCGAGGTAAAACGAAAATCATCATTTATTCATTATTAATCGACGCCTCGAACCATTAAATTTCATCCGACAATGCAAATCAAACACTAATAAAAACAATGAAAAAACAGGAACAAAACATAATAATTTTTCCCTGTATTATTAAGCGCCAATTAAACATTTTTCCTTTTTTATTTTTAGAGTAACGTAAATTATGCATTTGGAAACGAAATTGACAAGCCGACGACGTATAAGGGCGACGTCCAAGCTAAGCTTCCTAGTGACGTATTGAAGAACATTAAACTCGAATTTGATAATTCCATGCTTATTGTTAAAGACGGCAATGTAGAAATTACTCGATCGAAAATACTGACGTACAATGATAATAAGAAAATAAAAATCGATACTCATTACAAGCACTCGGGTGAATATAATTTCGAGGCTCTCGGTACGTTCGCCCGTACATTCTCATTGTCGCTCAAAGTGCTGGACAAGCCAACTCTAACCGTCAATGAAAATTATAATCACGATTTGACCGGAGATTTGAAGAAAATCCAAGAGAAGGGAAGCATCAAATTTGGCGATAAGGAAGTTACGAGTAACGTCGATTTACAATGGCTACCTGAATTCAATAAGGTTTCGGTAAATGGAAAATTCACCACCCCGTTCGAGAAGTTGAAGAACATCGATCTTCAAGTCGATCACAAGGTGCTTCATTATCATATCATATATTTATCATTTATATGGCAGATGAGCTTGTATGTCGGCAAACAATGTAAAGTACATATAACGTTAAATTACTTATAGAGGGACAATGAAAAATCAAGAAAAACAGAAGTTTCTCTTACCGTCGATGGTGTCAAATATACGCAAACGACTGCAATTGAATTAGAGGAGGCGCCTGGAATTCACTTGGTTTTCACATATCCGGCAGGAAAAACCGAGCTCTTGGCTAAGTTTAAGAAACTAGGAGAGAACGAGTATTCCGGTATTTACTCACTTGTTTCATATCATTCCAATATTATTCAATAACGCGCACACGCGCATAGCAATAAATTGCATATCATTCTTTCATCTTTGTTTATTCAGGCGATTATAAATTGCTGACACCCAAGGGATTCATTACCGTCGATGGCCGCGTTAAATTGGAAAGCGTCGATGACTTTGTCCTCAATGTTAACTTTGACAGCGATAAGTTTAAGTATCGTAAAATTCATGCAGAAATTGCAAATAAACCGAGTTCCCAAGATGGACGAAGAATTTTCATTACAGTTACGAGCGAGGGCAAAAATCTCGTTACTGGAAGGTAAAAATTACCAATTAAGAGCGTATAACAATTGTAGGATTGAAAATTTTTCGGTAAAAAACCAAAAAAACAAAAACAAAAAACAAAACAAAAAAAAAACAAAAAAACAAAACAAAAACAAAACAAAAACAAAACAAAAAAAAAAAAACAAAACAAAAACAGAACAAAAAAAGCAAAAACAAAACGAAAAAAACGAATGAAACGAAAGAAACAAAGAAACAAAATTCATTATTTAGCATTATTTGCAATTATAAATCATCGTCGTTTCGTCATTTACCATTAGCCGTTGTTCTAAATTCTACATTGAAAACGTGCGAAAATTAATGCCGCGATAATTTATAATGCGCAGCACGAATTACAAAAGGCACGAAGAGGACAAGAAAGTGACTCTTGAGGGTAGCGGCAGCCTCAAGGTCGGCGAGAACACAAAAAGTTCCTCTTTCAAGTACGTCCGTAAGCAACTGACGCGCGAGTCCGACAAGGAAGTCGGAGTCGCCATTATACTGAATACAAGCTTTGGACGTTCGGCGATCGTCGGCGAGCTCAAACTCTCCGACAAGGAGGTGCACGTGTTTAACAGCTACTGCGAGCAGAGCAAAGATTGCGCGCACTTCAAGCTCCAGTCGACCCTCGATACCGACCGTACGTCACCAATTAACGATTACATATTAATATTCTAATAATAATAATAATAATAATAATAATAATAATAATAATAATAATAATAATAATACGATAATACGGACCCAAGCGTGAACATTCAATGAATCTCAATTTGCCTCAGATCTGACTCATTTGAATCACAATCTTCAAGTCGAAGTGAATCTTAAGAAATTCAACGTACCCGTCGAGTTTGGACTTATGTCCGGCACGAAGTATGCCGACTATTCGTTAGATCATCAAGCCAATCTTTATCTTCATTCCTCCAAGGATCGCACCCAGTATACTTATCACGTTTATTTCAATAAGCGCGAGTCCGGTAAGCGAGACATCTCTTCTCTAAATTATAATCGAGTTTGTTATTATTATAATATAGTGGGAGCGGCCTGTCTCCTCCCGCGCCGTTAAACAATTTTATAAATTCCTCAAAAATTCATTGTTCGACAGCTGCGGTACTATCACTACCCAGTCGCGAGTTGGCCATTGTTGCCTTCCACGATGTTCCCGCCATTAAACATTCCGGGGCTTACAAGATCGATGTGTCCTTGTATTTGGATAGAAAGAACAAGCCTGCCGAGAAAACGAGTCTCATATGCTCTGGCGACATCAACGTTGACAAGAATACCGTAGCGATTAACGGTGAAGCCAAATTTACTTATCCGTTCCAAACTAAGGTACACCAACAAACAGCGCCAACATTCACTCGTACTATATAACAATTGTCACTCAAAGGCATTAATTGAATTGGATTTCATTATCTTTTCTTTTCCAACAGGATATGATTGTGAAAGGAAAATTGCACGTGGGCGGTGAACAGTTACTCGATGCCAATGTGGACATCGACGTATTTAATACGAAAAACGACAAGATCATTGCTACCGCTAAGCTCGTTCGCGTCGCACAGCCCAAAGGTTATAACGTTACGAGTAATTTCAATTTACGTAGCAAGGGACAACAATTGGACGTTAAAGTTGACCAGCACTACGCAGTCAAGCCATACTCCATTGATCTTGGATCAGCGATATTCTACACGGATAAGAATCAAAAACCAAAATCTCTCGGCGCCTATCTTATAGCTAATCTCGAACAAATCGATCTATTTGCCTACATACCGGATAAGGAGCTTGTCAAATCTCACACAGCCATAAGCGTCTCAAAGCATTCGCACAAATTCGAGACTGAATTCTCTCTGCTCGGCAAACCACCCGTTGCTATAAATTACGAGCTCAAGGACTACAATAGTTTTACATTCGACTTGGGCCGTAAAGGTAAATTGCTGTCATTTGATTTCATCATTATTATATCGTTTGCAATTGCGTTACTCGTCGATAAAGCGTTGGTGAATGTTTTCTGCTTAGACGATGGGAAGAATAAGATCGTTGCCAATGGGAAAGTTGTTCTTGGGCAGCTTGCTGAAATTCATGCCGATGCCTTCAAAGATGGAAGCAAATTAGATTTGTTCCATCTATTAATACATCTGGACGAGGGCAAATTTATGAAGCCCGACTTTGCTTACAACAACAAGAACATTATCGCCACAGTGGTAAATAGAAAACCATACCATCTGTCTTATTACAGTCTGACAAATCTAACTAATCTAACAAACCTAACAAACCTAACAAATCTGAAAAATCTGACGAATCTGACAAATCTAACGAATCTAACGAATCTAACGAATCTAACGAATCTAACGAATCTAACAAACCTAACAAACCTAACAAATCTGGAAAATCTAACAAATCTAACGAATCTAACGAATCTAACGAATCTAACAAACCTAACAAACCTAACAAATCTGAAAAATCTGACGAATCTAACAAACCTAACGAATCTAACAAATCTGACAAATCTAACGAATCTAACAAACCTAACAAATCAACTCACTCTCTCTCTCTCTCTCTCTCTCTCTCTCTCTCTCTATTTGTTTGTTTGTTTGTCTGTTTGTTTGTTTTTTTTATATAATTTATATAAATTTTTAATTGTTATGAATTGTGCACAGAATAAATTCCGCGAGCAGATCGTCGAGCGGATTAAGCAACTTAAACAAGTTAGCGAGGGAATTGGCAAGGAAGTTGTCGCTGAACTGACAGACTTTTTTGAACATCTGAAAAAGGCTAAACCAAGCTTCAAGCCCTTAGTAACGTACTTTGAGGCCGAGCTGGTCAAACTTAAAAATGAACTTCACGCTGATCAAACAATTAAAGAAATTCAAGACATTCTGTAAGCTCTTGAGAGATTGATTATTCACTATATTCACTCACTATATTCATAAATAACGAAACTATGTGAAAATTACAGGAATAAGACGTTCGGTGGACTTATAGCGGCGATCACCGAGACCGTAAAGAAATTCGCTGAACATTTTGAAGAGCTGCAGGAGCAACTTAACGATATCTGTAATAAATTGCAACAAGCCATCAAATCGACATATCCGCAATTGAAGGAATCATTCGACAAAGTTTTTAAAGTTTGCGTAACCGTGTTCGACACGGCCTGCAAATTGGCCACAGCTTACGTCGAGGCCATTCTCAAAGTCTTGAACGAGCATCAAAAGGACATTGAAGAGCTAGTATCCGTCGCATCGGAGCTCATCCAAGACATCGCGAAAATCGTTGTCAAGGGCGCGACTCAAATTGAAAAAGAAGTGAAAGAATTCGTCCAGTTGCTGGTACAGCAGGTCCGGGCACTTCCTATTTATGAAGTAGCGCAGAGGATGCTGAAGGAGATCGTTAATTACAGACTGCCCGACTACATTATCGGCCCAATCGAGGAATTCTGCAACAACATCAAAAACTTATTGCCTACGCAAGAATTGAAAGATTTCTTCACCACTGTTTACAACTACATTCTTAAGCACGTCAAGCACCACGATGTACGTTGTTATTTAGAATTCGTAAGCCTTTATCATTGAACTGTCGAGTGAAAAATTAATTCGTACTTTATCATGACTGTAATAGTAAGCATCGGCGATGAGATATAATTTATCGAGAGAGAGAGAGAGAGAGAGAGAGAGAGAGAGAGAGAGAGAGAGAGTAACAATAGTAAAAATGGAAAAATGTCGATGTTATAGCGATGTTTGATAAATTCACTCCTCTAGTTATCTATTAAATTTCTTATAACGTAATATCGTTGATAATGCAATGTCGTGCATTATTTTTAAAATGCTTTATTATTATTGATCATAGGTTGACGATTCGAGCGAAGTGAAGAAGATCTACTCTCAAGCTTGGAATGCAATTCGCTCGATTATTCATCTTTTACAGTCGCACGCCACCGTCGAGAATGTTTTTGGCTTCTTGGAGACTCAATTCCCAGTCGATATTAGTTACTTAAGAAAATTGCCCGGCCTTTCGACTATCCGATTGTCCGTACTGAAACTATTGCTCAATCGCGAACTTCCATCAGTCTCCGATCTTTACTACGTTTACAGGTTAATATATACTTAACATATGTATTGGCACTATTTTGTTTTTTGTTTATTGTTTTTTATTTTTGTAATGCCCATTCAATCATCTATATATATATATTAATTTTGCGTATCCTTAGGCCAATTCATCATGCTCACGATATGTTTCCACCATCCAAGAAATACGGATTTTTCGGCGACGGAGGCTACGTCATTACATTCGATGGCAGACAATTCGTATTCTCGGGAACTTGCAACTACATACTGGCGCAAGACATGCAAGATGGAAACTTCTCTGTCGTTGGAGAATACGCTAATGGTAATCTTGTTAGCGTCACCATTACCGAGCCAGGCGAAAGTGCCACGATTAAGAGTAACGGGAACGTACGTAATTAACTTGTAATCCTCGATAGCTTTAACCCCTACGGACTAATAAAATTTCTTCTTCTTATTTCTCCTCCTCCTCCGTCTCCTCCTCCTCCGTCTCCTCCTCCTCCTCCCCCCCCCGTCCACATCCACATCAACATCCCCTTTTAATTTTCTATACTTAGATACTGATTAACAATAAGCCAGCCGATTATCCAGCAAGTACAAAGAATTTAGAAGCCTATTTGGCTACGCCATTCCGAAGAATTAAATCGAAATATGGAGCTAAAGTTGTGTGCAAGATCGGCTCGGGCTTGTATTGTTACTTGAAAGTATCAGGATTCTATCATGGCAGACTTCGGGGTCTTCTCGGAGATGCCAATAACGAGCCATCCGATGATTATATCCTACCAAGCGGTAAAGTAACTGCGAGTACCAGCGATTTTGGAAACGCTTACAAGCTCAATCCGTCGTGCGCCGCGACATCGTCTAAGGAAGGCGAGGCAGCTCGAGCTCCAATTTGTTCCAAATACTTCTCCAGCGACTCCAAATTAAGGTTCATACGACACAATCGATTATATCTTATTGTTTGAGCTGATTGACGAGTTTTTTCTTTTCTTTTACTTCTCTTTTTCTTTCTTTTTCATTGTACAATTGTGTTGAATTTTTTTATTGTTAATAACGTAGGAAGATGTATATATATATATATGTATGTATAATAATTTCTTTATTAACAGCTCGTGCTTCAATTACGTGGATCCTAAAGCATTCCGGCAGGTGTGCGATCAATTGATCGGCTCTGGACAGAAATCCGGAGCGTGCATCGCCGCGCATTCTTACACGGTACTCTGCTCATCACGGGATATATCGATCAATCCCCCGAAAGATTGCGGTACGTTGATTAAGTAAATTGCAGACGATTGGAAGGGCTGGTTTTGTAATGCCATCGATCGATGAAATTATTATTACATGATAATTATTATAAATTACTTTGGATATTGCAGTTCAGTGTAAAGTTGGAGATTCGTATATCGATGGTGGCGATAGCTTTAGCGTGAAGATCCCTAGAAAGCAGGCTGACATTATATTTGTTGTTGAGCAAGAGGCTGACAATGAAAAGGCTTTCAAAGAACTCGTGAAGCCTTTGATGGGCGAAATTAGAACTGAGCTGAAGCAGCAAGGAATTACGTAAGTTTGACAAGCACGCGTCGGTTACGACGTATTGCCGTATCGATTGTACATCCATTGGCTAATAGAAATTTTCATTATTTTTGAAGGGACGTTTTTATCGGTCTCATTGGCTTTGGCGAGGGTATGAAATGGCCGAGATATTACACATCCAATAATAACGTGAACATCGAAGGCGGCGATATTAATCACATGACGTTCAGCAATGTACGCGAGGCCTTGATATCGTTCCAGGTAATTCTAACGTAAAATCTCTCTACCGTAAGATAATTAAGATTAAAGGACTTTAATGAAAATAACAGCAACTGGCGTAAAATAATACATGTTTTTTTTTCTCTATCTCTATCTATCTCTCTCTCTCTCTCTCTCTCTCTCTCTATCTCTTTATCTCTCTTCTCCGAATGTTCCTTTACGTAGGACGCGAAAGAAGACAAGATAAGTTACAAGAAACTGAAATATCTGAGACAAAGATTGGACGTTGAGCTTGGTACGTTTAAAGTGACGGATGCGTATGAAGCAGCAATTAGGTATCCGTTTAGAGCAGCCGCAGCCAAAGTCGTGGTCGGGCTTATTAGCTTGCCCTGTGAAAAGAGTCCCTTATCTCCATTTTCGGTATATATCCTTTCGTCTAATCCTCTTACGATTTTTTACAATATTGATCCAAGATTGTCGTTTCACCTTCTTAATTGCCTTCGTACTCTTCATCTTGTAGTTCCAAGATTATAGACTTTTCCTTGGACGCGACGTGTATAATCAATTGGGTTTGACGTATTATCACGTGTCGCCCTTGAAGGACCTCGAGGTTTCGGGAAAACCACAGAAGAATGTCATTGGTTTTGACAAAGAGTACGCTTACACGTTTGCCGATAGCAAGAAGAAACCACTGGAAGGTAATGCAGAGTTGAAGAGTAATCTCGCACTCGCTGGGGCTGATGTTTGTGCCGTTTTTGCAGTTAACGTAAGCGTTAATTTAACATTTCATCTCTCTCTCCCTCTCTCTCCCTATGCCACATATATTTTGTATATTTCCTTTCCTGCATCGTCTTTAACGACGCAATCGATCCTAAATTGCTCCGTTCCATTGGCAGCCTCGTTATAACAATGTTGGATATTCATTGCAGACTGGTGGTGCAGCGTTTAGCACACACAACTTTTTGGAAGCGAAACCGAATCAACAAGCACAATACATCAAGGTGGCTGCTCGGAGAATAGCCGAGAATCTCGCCACGGTTGAGATTGACGAAGACTGCGTATGTGGTATCGAAGTTGCGGATGGTTATGCCGTCGAGTTAATTAGTCGTCCTCACTGTAAGGTCGTCAATCGACATGACAAAAGCGTAAGTATAAATTCAACCATTCGAGTTAATTTCTTTTAGCATTGTGTGAGAGATGCTTAACGGCTTATGGCCTATTTTCTATGTTGCAGAGGCATAAGCCAAAGGCTTAATTCCAATGGATAATGTTGGCGTTGCTTGATGGAATGACAATCGAACGACAATTAGTTAAGTCTAATGTATTTTTTAATTTACTATAATGACGCTAGAGTCCTTTTATACAGACGCAACAAACGAGTCGAAGGATCCGTTCGTTTACAACAGTCACTCTTTTTCCATTTTACAATTGACCGTCATCCAACATTTAAATAAGCTCGACGATATGTATTGTCAAAGTATTTAAATTCTTTAAACGTATTACAGTTTTCTCACACGATATATAATGAATTTTCATTTTGTAAATATAAGAAATACTCATTCCGGAGAAAATTTTTCTTCTTTTGCACTGGATTATGAAAATGAGGGCTGTTATAAGCGCGCGACTGCTAATGACTGAATTTTATCGAATTATTTTTATATGATTATAAAGAATAAGAATATTATGTAACGACGCGACGATGTATGTCTCTTTGTAAAAAGTACGTGATTACGTGCTACATGTACGCGATATACCATGAATTGTGAATAAATATGTAAACATAATTATTCTACTGTCTTTTGTCATTTGTCTCCTCTCCCATTACTCAATTTATCAATATTTCGATCGAAGGGAATAATACTATTTGACGATATCGCGATAAAAATCTCATTGTTATTTTGCGCAATATCAAATTAATCATACAATAAACATGTATCCACATCCACAATTGAACAGCTATCTAAATGGACTCAGTTTGCAGACGTCGAAAATAATTGTCAATCGAACAGTCTATAAAGGTTAAATTGCAATAATATATACCGGATTTTTTATGCAAACAATTATGAAAACAATTCCAATTTAATTAATAATGTTAATTATAATTAAATAATTAATTGATAATTTAGCCTTGCAAGAGAAATACACGCGTGGCGGCCGAAATTCAGAATTTTTACGAGTTACTTCGATACAACCACAATGCTTTGCTCCACATGTCGACGTAACGAGGGCAAAGTGTGGCTTTAAACAATTTGCATTGCCGAAACTCGTAAGACTTTTTCGTAATTGTAAAAATGCTCGAATATTTGATGAGGCCTGTTTAATTAATTGATAATCTTTAAATATAAATGTGATACATGAAGAATATGGAATTGGGTAGCGATGATCCTCTGATTGTAAGACAAGCGCTAACGACTTTAACGGATCTATTGTGTTATCCCGAGAAATTGTCCGAAGCTATTCAATTAAATATCCCCAACAGGTAGGTTACATCATCGATTCATTATATCCCTATTACTAGCTTATTACATTTTGATGAATTTTCTAATTATCCACACGAGGCAAATACATTTTTCTTTTCAATAAGTTAAGTCTTTCCTTTCCCACATCGATTCGTTCAAATTCATTTACAATGTCATTTACAATGTCCTACTTTATTATCGACAGATTTTCACTTTATTCATTACAACACGGTCAATGTGTAAAGTACACGCATATAAATTTCCAAATTGTATAGAGATAGTTTTCAAACAATAATAAGTAAGGATGAACAAAATGAAAAAAAAATTTTAAAAAAATCTAATGAAATATTTTGCAAATTATTCGCCTAATAAAGAAATGTGATAGTCGTGAATTGAATGTATTAAGCTTTGCGAATTTAGAAATAAAAATATTGAGAAATAACAGATTGTCATACGACATTATTAAAAGGACAAAAAAAAAACAAAAAAAAAAAAAAAAAAAAAAAAAAATGAGAGAAAAGAAAAGTTTTCACTTTTCCAACTTTACTACTTACCATTTTATAGCCCATAATAATTAGCCCTGAGATTTTCCGACAATAAGCAAAGCCTCGTACAGTCTAACAGATTTCTTAGTATCTAATGATCCTTACCTGCGGGAACGAGTGGCAATGGCTTATGCAACAATAGCAAATCAGGTATCGGGAAAGGAGGCAATTTTGAAGAATCTTACCACTGTCGCTAATTTATCGAGAGGCCTCGACGATTCTTTGGCAGCTGTGCGCTTGCAAGTAGCGCGTGTCCTGGAAGCTCTCGCTAACAACAATTCCGGTTTATTATCATATTAATATATCCTTGCCCATAAACATTTCTACGTTTTATTATTTTCATTACATTGTGCTTTGATTAATGTGCATGCAGCGGCGGATAAGCTGTGCATCTATGGTTTCGTGAAAGCTATAAGCGGAAAGCTTACCAACGAGAGAAAGGACATATTGGTAGATTATTTTTAGAATGACAATATAAAGTCCTAAGACAGATGATAATTTAAGCCTAATTTTTTCAGATCATTTATTTGAGCATATTGGAATTATTGTTTCATCGAAACAGCAAAGCAGCTGCCATAAAAAATGGCTCGTTTGACGAAATAGTGGCGTTGTTGAGTCGAAAAGACGAAATTCTTTTATGCAAATCATTGTCCTGTTTGCGCGTATTATGCGAGGATCTAAGCGGAAAACAAAAAGCACTCGAATTGGACTTACTAGTCAAATTGAAGGAATTGTTAACTGATAAAGTATGTTTTCCTAATTCAATGTCCCCTCTTAATTATATAATTACACATCTATATATACGCACACATAGCTTAACATTATAATAATATTAATTGAATTAAATACAAAATATTAATTGATTTTATGAATTTAAGATATTTTTAAGAATTTTATTAATATTATTAACGTAAATTAATTATTATAAATTTCATTTTTAATTACTTTATCTTAACGTAACGCAAACTTTATTCACGATAAAATTATATAAATAGTATAAGTCATTCGAATAATGTTTATGAACGAGACTTTAAAATTTATATTTGCTTTAAATTCATATTACCCTATCTTCAACAATAATATCATTAATTTCGATTAATTATTGTTAATAAACGTAATGTATACATGGTATATTAATGGTTAATATTACAATTGGATTAGCCATTGTATGTAATTGGACAAAAAAATAAAAAACTATTTTATAAGAGGGAGAGAGCTAAATAATATGAATAAAATTATTAAATACTTAAGTACTGTATATACAAATATACACTTAAAACATTTTTGATCATTTGAATTATATATTTACAATAATAAATTAATATGCATAATACAATTACCAAATAAATAAATAAATAAATATATATATATATATATATATATATATATATATATATTTATTAGAAAATCTATATTTTAATCGCTATTCAATATTAATTATAAAATTTTCGGTATTATAGATAGAAATGCCGATTATTATTAATAAAAGTATTGGTACATTTGAGACTCCAATCCAAATTTAATGGATTTATGTAATGCATAAAATAAAAAAAAAATATTATATATTTCAAAACGATGATGATATTTGCAATAATTGCATGTATAAATTAAAAAAAAAAATAAATAAATAAAATAAAATAAAATAAATAAATAAATAAATAAATAAATAAATAAATAATTACTTATAAATTATTATTTTTTCTATCGTGTAACTGGATTCTGTTTTCTTCGTTAACGTATCGAGTTAATGAGTCGATACGCATGAAATTTAATGTATAACGCCGGTTACTGAAAAATTTCAATGGAATTTTGAAGGAAGTAATACGATATATTTTAATCATATTTTCTTAATAAGTAAAGTTTTACAAGTACATTAAAGTTTATATAGAATCAAAGTTACTGTAATGATTTCATAGCTTGATTAACGAGGTATAAGCCAAGTAAAAAGCACACCTCCTTATGATTATGTAAATGTTGAAAACCTGAAAGGTGATAAAATATTATAATAATATAGATGGAACATTGAGCTTAACGCTATAATTAACTATTAAGCCAATGGCAACGAAGAAGATATTGAAATTAATTATAATGCACTAAGAACAAATCGATATTTAATGTCGAACATGCGTGTGAATGGCTGATTTTCCTCAATCATTTATGTTACTTATGTTTTTAAGTCTCCACGCGCACGCACGCACACACACACACACACACACACGCACACACAAAATACTCACTTAACAAGATTTCCTGTACGTTATTACGAATATATAAGAATAATAAGAAAAACTTTCCGTATATTTTAATATTTACAATCTCCGGTCTATATTAACTAGATCGAATCAATAAACAAACAATAAAGAACTGTGTTTCATACTATATTCATATACATATATTGAAATATATTTAAAATACTTAGATTTTTAGTACTATATAATTGTATTTTAATGCAATTTAAAGCGCAATGTATCATTAATTCTATTTATTCATATGATAAAGAATTTAATTGTATAAATAAATAGATGTATATGCATATATTAGTTAATAATTAATTCGCGTTACGTTTCTTTGTGTTTACAGCATAACCCGTATCTATAATTTTATTAAGGAAAATATCATCTGTTATATAAGAAATACAACGGTATTATTTGTATTCGAATAATTTATGTAATTCGATTTGTGCTTTAGAGAGCAATACACGTTTGCACAAGTTTGTATTCTTCAATCGATTATTCAAAAGACTTGATTTAACATTTAGCTGGTATTCAATTATAATATAAATATTTATTATTACTCTATTAAAGAAAAGAAAAAACTTTATTACTATTATTAGTCTCTCTAAATTTACTGGGGCATAATTGAATGCAATTATCTGCAATATATTTATGCTTTAATTTATTAGATATTCAGAAATATTCATTAATTGCTGAAATTACAATGTACCTTACCTTTTATAGTATGTTATAGTAAAATAATATTAAATTACTCAACAACATCTCCACGAATTAGTAATAAGCGTAATTTATTATTAATCATCATGATAATATTTAAAAGTTTCAAAAAGAAAATGAAAAGTAATTGGAAATATTTCATTACATGTCGTTTCTTAGATTGTCGTAGATCGTCAAATCTATCAATTTGTCATATACAAGCGTACAAGTCTTATACAATGCGATTGATAATTATCGATAAATTACTCCTGCTCGATTATTATAATTTACGACATTAATGTTTTTTAATTTTTTCTCGTTGTTACGTGCTGCAGACTTGTATCAATTCCATTAATTATACTACGCGCATACTTTTTCCAATCGATAATTTAAAAATTGATCGATGTCTCGACTAAAATTGCATGCGCACTACCAATAAGAATTACAGTATCGAAACAAATACACTCGGCAAATTAACAATTATTTTGAAAAGTGATTTGATTATAACGGCCGATTACCAATACTTTCACCGAATTAACGTTAAATCGGTATGTTGCGAGTGCATATAGGGCACACGTCGCGATATCAAGTGCCTTTATTAATTTTAAATAAATTCATTCCCAATGTATTATTGTAGGCAAGGAAAATTTCATAAAATATGGTTGGGCGACGTATTGTCGAGATGCAGGGACTAATATTTTAAAATATTAAACGATCCGATGAGATTTATATCCTATAGCGTGACATTAAATTTTCTCATTATCAGCGAACAACGAACAATGATGCAACATTCGTAAAAAGTGTGCTCAAAAGAAGGAGTGAAAACGTCGCGATTGCATTTCGGAAAAAGAGTCGTTATGAAAAATAATTAAGCTCGAGGGATCGTCGTGAGGAGGAAGATGTTAGGTAGGTGAGGTTTGTGTGTGTGTGTGTGTGTGTGTGTGTGTGTGTGTGTGTACGTGCTGGGATAGTGGATTGTTGGAGGTTGGGTAGAGAGAGAGAGAGAGAGTGAGAGGGGGGGTTAGGTAGGTAGGTAGGTAGGTAGGTAGGTAGGTAGGTAGGTAGGTAGGTAGGTAGGTAGGTAGGTAGGTAGATAGATAGATAGGTAGATAGGTAGATAGGTAGATAGGAGAGAGAGTGAGAGGGGGGGTTAGGTAGGTAGGTAGGTAGGTAGGTAGATAGATAGATAGGTAGATAGGTAGATAGGTAGATAGGTAGGTAGGCGAGGTAGGCGAGGTAAGTGAGGGAGTGAGTATAAGGAGATCTCGGTACTTTTTACATGTCAATGAATTTTCAGAGGGAGTATGTGAACCTTGAAGCAGCCCGGGTCATGTCGTTCATTACGATTACGAGTCGTGGCAAGCTGCGTCTCCTGGAGCTGAGGATGCCCTCCTTTCTGCTGCTCACGCTCACTCAGAAGTGCTGTCCCTCTCAGGAGCTGGTCCTTACGCTTATAAAGGCACTGTCAATAATAACTCGAGCGAGCTCTTAATTCGGTGACGCTTGCCTCGTCGTTACGTTGAAACCCACTACCATCGCCTCGACGTCGCATCTGCATTATGAATAATGCATGGTGCATAGCCTTGAGCTGCGTGGGTGGGATATGCGCGCGCGCGCGCAAGAGAGAAGGCTCTACTAAGTTCACTCCTGTCTTTACAGATTTTAACGAATGTCGCGGAGGCGCCCGAAGGTCGTAGAATGCTACTCAAGTACGAGAGCCTCATCGAGAACATCGCCGTCGGCAAGAACCAAGTGCTACAGAGACACAGGCAAACCCTTTTGGACGTCGTTCGATGGCGACCCTAGACCCCCACCCCATGTGCCGTACCCATGTCGTCGCATCACCAGTCATACTATATTACATTTATATATGCGCGCGGCTCTCTCTCTCTCTCTCTCTCTCTCTCTCTCTCTCTCTCTCTCTGCATATATATATATATATATATATTTATGATTGTGTGTATATGATTATGCGCAGGTAGAGCGCATAATGTAAAATGTAAACGAGCAAATAAGAGCGATGCTAATGAATTGTGAAATAAAGTGAGCGTTATAATAAAGCTAAGCAAGAGGGGAAAATAATTTTGATTCGTAGCAGTAGCAACATGTTGACCTTTCATTTGTTTATGTCGAGCGCATTGAGCGCCATTAGTGCCCATCGGTACGTTAGTAATGCCGCGATTGCGTTATTCAAGGTTAAGTGACAGCACGTGCCATGCCATGCAGCTAATCGTCCAACGTTTCTCATAAAACATGGAACATTTCGATATCTTTAAAATTCCCGAGAATCCAAAGTGAGTTTGATTAATTTTTTTGAGATTTTGGTGAGCACTGTACACGAGTGACTGAATTTACAGATTGAAATTCGGCGAGCCGCTGAGCGATGTTTGCGACAACGGCATCTTCCACAGTGGCTTGAAAGTAAAGAAAAGTCCGCTGGGCTTCTTCGATTGCCCGGAGATCCCGGATTTATTACACGGGCGTCTGCCCCCCCCCACCTTCCCCCATCACTCCCCTCTCCCCACTCCTTCCCACTCTATCCCACTTAGCGCGTAATCACTACGCTACACAGCATTTCCTTTATTTCAGGACTTGTATCTTAAGGCGTACTTGAGTGCCAAGGGTGACGATGTTGCCGAGTCGTGTAACGAGGGCACGAACGTTAATAAAATATCGAGGATCCTGCTCGCTTTAAAGTAAAATGATCGTTCGTTGTAGGGCTGGACGATTAAAAAGACGATTATACAAGGGTGGCTTGTATTTTTCTGTTTTTTTTTATTTTTTTTTTTTTTATGTAGATCCGGATCGGACGGCCAAGGGACGCTGCACCAGAGAATCAGCTTGATGGCTAAGCTCGAGGCAGGTCGGTGGCTGATGCCCGTGCAGACACCTGCCGGAGCACCACTGTGGCTCCTCCGTCATTTCCTCGGTCGCTTACCCCAGCCTCTCCTCCAAGGTACGACGATAAATTTTCACTTGGTTAATGTTACCTCGAACCATTAGAGCGGGTGGGTATAAGAACGGGGCGTATTACTGACTGTGGGCTGTTGTGTGCGTGAATGAGGCTCGAGTGATGCCGGGCGAGGGGATCGTGGTGGTGGATTAAGTTTTAACGAGGTTCGAGAGGAGGGAAAAATGATGCGTTTATGTATGTGAGGATTTTTTGAAGGTTCACATTGGAAAACCATCGGCGAAACTTGCGGAGCTTCGGCATTTTCCAGAACTGAGGAAGTTATTGAAAGGATTTCCGTGTGAGCAAATCAAACATATATATATATATATATGTATAAATATGTAAATATATATATATGTATAAATAAATATATATATATATATATATTATACGGTGCTTAGAGTGGTGTATGTCTCTCTCTTTCTCTCTCTCTCTCTGTTCAACGGCAGGCCGTCGAATTTGCTTGACTTTGGCTCATTCGTGCACTGCCGTGCATGGAACGAAAATACTTCTAAGCCGAAGCCGCGGGAGGCGGGCGGCTCACGCTTACTACCATCACAATCAAAATTCTTCGTAAATGGAGACATTTGTTTACTGTCCATCCATGTAAAACTAGCCCAACTCACATTACCTATTATTTTATCCGTTAAACTTTGTTTGTTGACGTAAACAATTTTTATTTAGTTACTGCGCTTAAAAAATTTATTCTACTTGTTCCATTCTGTATTTAAGGTCGGTAAAGGCATTGAGCCGAACGGAGTTCGAAGTTTTGGCACTTTTAACGCTTCTCATCAATAGATTATCTTTAATAGATCAGCCTAGAGATAAGGAAGAATTTTCCAATGATGTTTTATGCGCCCTGAGCGAGTACTTTATAGCGTCGATTATTACACGACCGTACAGGCCTGGATTAAACACAAAAGTAAATTCTTATATTTTCACATTGGAATATCGATCAATTAAATCTCAAACTCAAAATTATTATGCTGTTTTAGCTCGATAAAAAGTGTCAGCCACTACTTATCTTTATGTCGAAAAATTGGAATGCGATTTTCGAAAAAACATCGAGAACGGCATTCTTCGACCACTTGTCTACTAACAAAAGACTACAAAAGTCTTTGTCTACGGAATTACATTCATATTTTCAAAGCAACAATTGTAACACAAAGCACACGGACAATCAAAGTTCTAACAAGTAATAAAATATTATTATTATTACTATCATCAATTCGTATAAGTAAGATAAATTAGACTTTTCCTATTTTTCCATAATATTATGCGCATGATTTATAAGGAGAACGGAAATTTCGTAGCTCAAATAGCAATTGCACGCGCTGATCGAATGGGGCCAACAACGATATATTACAATACAATATTAATTTATATAACAATAATTTTAGAGATCTAATGAAAATGCTTGATTACATGGCATTCGTAACGTCTGATTATTTAGCCTAAGCATGATTATTCTATAATTTTAGATTTATAGGATTCGAGCCTTTATTAATCGAGGACAATATTAATCGATCAAAGAAAAACCCTGATAATGATATTCGATCCAAATCCTCACTCCAAAGAAACATATTTGATAATTTACTATTAAGCGAATCGAGTAGCGAAGAGAATTTTTCCGAAATCGATATACTGGAACATTTTGAAAGTGACGCGGAGAGCGCGAAAAATTTTTTCCCCCACCATTCCACACTTACCAAAGGCAAGTATTAATATGAAAATTCAAGCCAATGTAACATTATGGCGCTCTTTAATGTATAATGATTTTTATAAATTAGAAATATGAAATGATTGATTTATCAACGAAATGAAAAAAAATCTTACATTTTATTATGAAAATTTGCCAATTTTTAAGTAAATAATTTAATGTATTCGATACTATGTATATCGAAATATAGGCTCCTAGATTATTAAATAAGTTAATATTTTTCAGTCAATTTTATCAAAAGATTTGCAGTTTGTATTTTATGCATTGGTATTTTATAAAGAACAATTGAAACGTGCAAGTTGTTTTAACGAACAAATTGAAAAGATAATTAAAAGAATTTTATTAAATCTTACCTTTACGTACACTTTCCACATGCATTAATTAAAATTTTTCCTATTTTATTCTTTATTTTTATCTCTGTTTATATTATTTCTTCGATATTAATATAAATACATTTTCGTTCTATAACAATCTTTTGTACATTTTTTTAAAACATTGATTATTTTTAATTAAAGTGTTTACCCTCCAGCCCCTGTCCAATAATCGAACAATTTTTCTGTCTAAAAATAAGTAACGTTCTACAAAAATATTATCATACAGTTTGTCATTATTGAACTAATATTTATTAAATTTTCATTACATTTAATAAATGATTTAGTACAATGAAATCAAAATATCTATTAACTTCAAAATTTTATACATTGAAGAAAGCAGCAAATTTCGTTTGAAACATCACTGTTTGGAGGATTCCTAATTATATGAATACAATAAACCTACAAATTTAACATTTTTTTTTTCTCTACAATAAAAAAATAAAAAACTTAACCATTCATACAATATAATTATTAAGGTATAATCTGGATTTTTTTTTTATTTTTTTTTTTTTTTTTTTTTTTTTTTTTTTTAATATATGTATATATGTTTAATATTATTCTGTTGATCGATGAAATGATAAAATTTGATATTATATCGTTAAGAGTGACACTTAGTAGGTAAATATTTTAATTTAATGTTTCAGATAATAATATAAAAGCCCATATGGTGAAAGACGAAGATCTTTTACTAAAAGAGACAGCAAGTACTTCGGCTTTATTGCCTTCAAAAAAAACGGATTTTGGTACGAAATCGAACCTAAAATTACGTAAACGTGCATTATTTTGCAATCGTTTCCCACAGAATTTATTAATTAGTCGATTAGATAAAGTCCAAAATATTGTAAATACCAGCTCTACAGAATATGAATTCTATAGTATTCCGAATTCGGAAAATTCGGATTAATTTTTGTAAAATTTTGTATGTTTGTAAGTGAAGTATATTACTTTTTTTCTTCTTCTGTATAATTATAAAAGTAAATTTCATACCAAATATATAATATTAATTTTCATTAAACAGGTTCGTACATTTTATGTTTCCAGTAGAAATTATATTTACGAAATTAAAATAGAATGGTGTATTTTTAACATTTTTTTTTACCTCCAGCTTTAAGCAAACAACATTTGAATGTAAAAATAATGAAGTATTAATTTATTGCGTATTAGAAAATTTCATTTTAGTAACATATAGTAATTTTGTTTTCGCTTTCTTTTTAATCAATATAAGTTATTCCGACGATCTTATTACTTTTGAAATATTACAATACATCAAGTGTTATTACCAAATAATTGTAAACTCATCCTTTGTATTTCTCGATAAATTATTTCATCGATTTTGTATTCAATATTCAATTATGAAATAGCATTTATTGCATAATGTATATTATTATTATTCGACTAATTTAAAAGAAAATAGATAAAATATTAAAATATCGATCTAATCGTTTCATTTAAAATATTCAATTAAACCTATAGAATGTTGGACTATCATGATAATTAATAATTCTCAAAATTCACGCAGATAAAATTTTAATGATTCATCGACTTAAATGTTATATAATCCGAGTTAATTTATATTATCAAATATGGCCGTTCTAAATATTTCAATTAATCGATAATCATTTTTCCAATTAGTTTTTAGAGAAATATAAAAAATATTACGACATCGAATGAATTAGAAATATTATTATGAAATCTAATATGAAAATTAATTATGAAATCTCCGAAAGATACGAAAATACGTTAAATTTAAGTAAATGTAATATAAAAAATAAATGTTCTTATATACATATCAACGCAAATTATATTGTTATATATATATATATATATATATATATATATATATATATAAATGTATAAATAATTATTTAACAACATGATTTTGGTTTCGATGAATTATAGTATAAAGACCTCATATTTTAATTCATCAAATTCAAAGATTTTTCTTAATGATAGACACACAAATCGTTAAAAAAAAATTCAAATTTTTTACTTTGAAATCCATTATATGAGATACATGCTTGATTAAATTAATCCATAAATTTTCTTCGATTCTGATTTTTGTTTCACCCTTTATCAATAAAATATATCGAATAAAAATTAGTTATTTTGTTCAGTTTTACGATACCTGGAAAATCGTTAAAAAATTCTTGTCTTTTTAACTGTGACTATGATGGGTAGGTAAGGTATGCTTCTAATAATAATAATAAAAAAAAAATATAAATGCTATAGAGATTTAAATGTATTGAAAATTATTCCGATAAAATAATATGGATGCTAAAAGTATATGTTGAAGCGTTGGTTATCTCTAGGCAAATGCCATGCGTAAAATTTTCAAACGATAGCATAAAATGTACATCGAAAAATTTATGTCAATAACAGCTAAAAATAATCACAAAAAACATATATAATCGACAATAACTTAGCTTCCAAGTTATCGTTATATCGTTGCTTAATTATCCGAATTTATTGCTCTACATAGTCAAGTTGAATGGCTATAGTTTGTAAAAAGTCTCAAACCCATGCAAAATTTCATTTAATCTTGTACTATAATAATAATTATATTTTGGTTTATATTTTTTAGCAGATGTTTTATATGGGATTATTATTATAAAGAAACAGTTAAACTTTTACACGTATATTATAATAATTAATTATAACGATTCTATTTATTGTGCAAATAATTGCAACTTTCTATAAAAATTATCGCTGCAATAAAATTAATAAATTAATAATGAAATATTAATTTCCAAAGGTTCTTTCATTGAACTTTTTTTCACCCTATGTTCATTATAAAATATAATTTCAATTAAACAGATGATTCAATAAGTCGAATATCATTTTTCTCCATTCCTTTATGCGAATAAAAAAAATATTAGCTTTTAATTGCAGGTGAAACAATTAGAGATTTTATAAGGCATTTGACACATTGATATTTCATAATAAAATGGAAATTTCTCATTTTTTTTTTCTTTCTTCATTAGAGGAAAATACAACTACTGGAAGTATTATAATACGTGTAATATATTGGAAAAATTATCAGGATTGGTTTGATATACAATACTTTTGTTAAATTAATAATTAAAACAGACATACTGAATTATTCATTGTACTTGATTGTTAATTAAATAATGAAACGTCTTAGGCATGTATATATATATATATATATATGAGAAAAATAATTTATGTTTACAATAATTAATTAATTATTAGCTATTTTACGGGAAGCTTACGTGCCGATACGTAAGCGTCTAATGAAATGCTTCTCAGAATTATAAAAAGATGTTTTCCGCCGTTAAAATTATTAAATGTTTAAACAACACCATATAGATTAATATCAAAATGATATTAAATTACGATATTAAAATGATATTTTATATTATCTTGCGAAAAACTAGAGAGAAAGAAAGAAGGAAGTAAAATTTTAATTCAAATGTTTGAATGTTTAATCGTCTCTTGTAGTTTGGAAATCAGTACAAAAATATCAAAATTAAGGCGATTAAAATTCAACGAACCAATGAATATAATTAAATTTAATATCCGCGTCTTATTCATTACTTAAGAGGATTGTAAATATGTTAGCTACCAACGGTTAATAAATTGCATTAAAGCTTCAGTTCGATAGGAGCCGAGAATCTACGTTGGCTTAATGTACACATTATGGCCTCTTTTGATCTCCTCCATCCATTTCATTATTTCGTTCCCTCCCACCCTCCATCCCTGGCCTCGCCCCATCGACGTTACCCTTGTTCTCAATCTGCAATCTAACAATCAAAGCTTGGCAATTCCTATAAGGGCTTGAAAAATCCGTTATCATAAACCGACCACATCCAATGGTATTAAAGACTTTTTACATTTCAATGCGAACGTTAAAGACAGTAAATCAAAATTTTTACGCAGCAGCAGGATAATTAAGAAAAATGCAAAATAATCGCTAATATTAGGTGTATATACTATTATTATTATTTATTTATTTTTTTTTATCTTGTATATCGAACGAGAAGTAATTACGCATTAAATAAGCCAAAGAAAAAAGAGAAAAAAAAGCAAAAGTGTAAGGAGATATTGATAAAAGTTGGTTGCAATAGGCATCGCGAACAGTGCAGCAAGAAGAAGCATCGACAAGGTTTGTGAAAAATGTTGGATAGGATCATTAGGAGAGTGCAGGTTCTGCAGTCAAGTTGACCCGATCTTGGCAACGGAAGCACAAAGAGAAGCTTAATTACTCCAAGTGAGCGACGGAAATGTCGATTTAAATGGCCACGCTTGTCGAGCACTTTACATGCAAAATACGGAGACTTAATTAAGGCAATTAGCTGGAAGACAAGCGATGGTATATCGTGGCGCACCAAATGTCGCGCACTTGCCGCTGACAATCGATCGACTCGCATTCACCTTATGACGCGCATGCATTTCCACCGTTTCCTCCTATTCATATGCCTTGGAGCTGCAACGTCGCGTTGCGCGCGAGCGCGCACGCACAGACACAGACGGCGAGGTGCTCCGCGGCTTTGGAATTGCGGCAAAGATAATCAATCCACTGAGCCTTTTCTCTCGATTTCCTGGTTATTATAATCGCGGCATGCGAGGGACTTTTACCTTTCACATTTTCGTTTATTTTCCTTATCGCGAGGCTCGCAGGTACACTGATCGGATGTAAGTTTTGTGTCTCGTTACGGCGAGGTAGTGGAAGGGGGAAGGGCGGGCGAGACAATTACCGCCACGCCATAGGTCTGTCGCATCAATGGGGGCAATTTTATGTATGTCGGGCTGTGGAAGAAAGCTCGGGCACGCGTGCGCATGCGTGCCCGTCGTCGATCGGAGCTTTCACAGATCGTATGGGCAGAGTTTCGAGTCGCGATGAATTATCGGCGATGCGTGAAGCACAACGGCCCTGTGACTTTTAAGTCAATTTATATTACGTGCGCGTTATTTGCCAATTTGTCAATGGGGTTTCTCCATGTTTTATGGATTTTGCTTACATCGATCGAGTCATGTGTCTCAGTCACGAGTTTTATTTTTAAAATGATAATCAATGGATCTTCGCTTTGGTATTCGTTGGCAATTTTGTATAAGCGATGTATCGCTTATCTCCCAATGCATCGCCAATCAAAATTACGAAAGTTTCAACGAAATGTGCCCACTATTTTCCAATATTACGAGCAAGTCTATAGCAATTGGATTTGTAATTCGCACTAATCATTAGCAATTAGCGTCGAAGTGCACAACACTTTAGATTTATAATAAAGTTATGAAAATATATCTTTCAAGCTTTTGAACGTGCTAAACTTGATGAAATTTCATAATCGCTGTAAGATAAAATCATAGCCGTTGGGTAGAATGAGACGAGTTTTCCTCGTTGCACTTATCTTACACTAAATGCGATATATGTGATTGTTATTAACATTTGTTTATAAGAGTTTCCTTGATATTGATATTCATGGATCTGATAGTGTTGTTAAAGCTAGAATTAGTATAGCTTTGTGCGAGGTAAAACATTTGAATGTCATAAAGTGCTTTTTAACGTCGGAGACTAAATAATTAGATTAAGCAAATGTAAATTATATAATGTTGAAATACTCGTTTCCAACAATATTCAACAACACATTGTTATTGAATTACGATTTTGAAATTATTCTTTTACGTTAGCGTGAAATTTTTCTAAAAGGAATTAATGATTACCTATAATTAAATCATTAAATGTTAGTACGTTCGTCCGATGGTGTTTTGGAAAAACCAGTAAAAATTTTATTGATTTTCGTTCTTATGAACAAATAAAGGTAAAGATATATATATATATATATATATATGTGTGTGTGTAAATTTTTTTTTTTGTTTTTTTTTTTATTTTCCATCAGAATAATAATCAATAAGTTTTATTATATATTCTCGAGCACGTATATTATTCATATTACTCAATACTTTTAAATAAAATTTGTTTGATCTTTGAGTTCTCTTTGTACTTTAGGATTTGTCAGCTTTTCTTAAGATAAAGTCTAATAATTACGTTTTGATAGTTTTACTTGGTTTTTTTTTTTTTTAATTATTCATAAAAAAAGAACGCTTATTAATATGTATAATTTTCAATTTATTATTTTTCTGAAACTCGTTGTTGATAATAGTTTTTTTTTTTTTTTTTTTGCTTTTGTTATTATTTTTGTATTGATAACATTACACCGATTCACTTTGGAGATTTTATAAACGTTAACGAATTTATATTTTTGCAAATTGGAGTTTGATCAATCATTACTCAAATCTTTAAATATGGTACGATAAGTAAATGTATGAAATTATATATATATATATATATATATATATATATATTTGTAATTGAAGTATTTTATCGTGAAAATGAATTTTGAATGCAAATTGACCGTCGCTCTAATCAATAAGTTAACAGGCGTTTACCAACAATTTTAACGACTCTATCTTTACCGAATGTACGAAGAGAAAAGGTCGGCATTGTGACGTATAGAATTCGAAATTTAAAGTGTGCAGTCTTTTTTAAAGAGATATTAGTAAAAAGCCGAACATTCATGCACTACATACCTAATGTTTCTCTTTGAGCGCGCGCGCGCGCGCACCCACACACACGTTTACGGAATAAGTCCAACCGAATGGAATGACAATTGTGTATTCAAAGCTTTTAGAATGATTGTCAAATGGTAATATGAACGTCGAAGATGTTTAATATTGAACTGCAAATACATGAAAATATTACAATCAATTATTATTGCTCATACATAGGATATTATTCAATGGTCTTTGTCATTACTTATATTCGTAGCAACTAACGGCGTGGCTGACAATTTGGAAGAATATAATTGTTACAAATTAATGCAGTTTAGGCGTATGCTTACTGTCCCTTAAACGTGAAAACTTGGCGAAAAAAGTCCCAAGACGCGAAACGCATTTGTGACTACTTTTTACGAAGGAGCATAAAAATTGGCGATTACCGGTTGCACTTCACTTCAATTCGCAAATCCGTGCAATCAAAGTAATTGGAAGTGAATTTGAGTATCCGTATTATAAAGTAGGCAATGAAATTCTAGTCGGTCCTTTAACTCGGCAAATCCTCGACTCGATCGATGCTCGCGATTCGGCTTGGGAGTTTTTCCCAGGGAGTCCAACGATCGCTTCCGCTCAGGCTTACGCACACACGTAAGGAACAAGAAATAGTTAAAGCGCAATCGATTTGAAATGCGCCGAAATTTCAAGCAAGGGCTTCGGGCGTCGCTTAGGTAAGTGTCCGCCGACCGGAGTCAACCTCTCGACGCGATCGTCTCACCTCCTTGGGTCACGATCGCCTCCTACCTGGCGCGTCTCGTTATCTCGCGGTCAAGGTCAAGGGGCCGCCGATCGCGATCGCGATCCCGTCGCAGTTGGTGGCGGTGGCAGCGGCGGCTGCCGTTGCTGCTGCGTTGGCGGCGATGCTGGCGGCGGTGGCGACGGACGTGGTGGGGACCCCGGGCGCGGTAAATAGGAGCGCGAGCGAATGGCGATGAAGCAGTTCACGAGGCGCGCGACTCCCGGCCTTACCGATCTATTTCACGAGCTCCGACATTCATTTTCCTTCGACGAGACAGCAAGTTGTTACGCAGCTCCAGCGCCGGTGAGTCCTCGTGATTGTAGATGCGGGCGAGCCGGCGTCGAGTAGTGTTGGTGCCGTCGCTCGCCCAAGCTCTCGACGAAATGTAACAATTATGTCCCAATCGTTAATCTCTCTCACTCTGCGGATATAATTGCGCGAATTCAAGTCGCTATTGGCGATTGGGCCGCGTGTACGGTATTTATGATTAGAGTAGGCGACCGAGGCATTGTATCGGCAATTACACTCGCGCAAAACATCGTAAAACTTTCTCGCTGTTGACGCAATTGTGGAGGCACATTTATCGTCAGGCGGTCCGGATAATCCTTGCGAGAGGAAATTTTAAGCTTTCGTTAAATTAATGAAGTTTTGTCAGACGTACGTAGCGGGTTTAAGTTGTGCGATAAGTGTAAAAAATTTCCGCTTAAACTAAAAACTCGCGACCGGGTCATCGAGGCTGAGTTATTCGGGATTTATCATTTATTTTTATAGGTTTCGGTAGCGTGGTTATCCTCGCTCACAATCTCCCGAGCGAATTTCCGATTTGCTAGAGCGCATCGCTCCATTATGAATAATTCATCGTCCGCGCGATAAATGTTCTATTTAGCTTATCTTTGTCGTGAAAAGAGTTGGCGAAAGTAGCGATATTATTTGCTCTAGAATTAGTATTATTGCAACTTGGGTGATATTCCGACTCGCGCTGCTACACGAAAGAACTGCGAATTCATTGTATATTGGTGTGGTTGAAGAGTGGTGGAGGAGTAGAGAATAACGCAACAAGCCAGGCGCACACGGTTATTGTTTAAGCTTGAACAAATGAAGTAACGCGAGCGAAAGTTCACTTAAGCGTCGAGTTAAATATTTTAATGAAATTAGCATGGAGGCTAGCGTATAATAGACAATCGTCGCTTATTCCACCTTCAACTGCCGAGCGCTGGGTTGAGGTTCGTTTGCCTGGTGCTTAACCGCGGTAATGCGGGCGATTCGAGTCATTAGCATATAACAAACGATCCAGAGACAGCGAGAATGGGATTTTCGCTGAGCGAAGGTTCGAGCGAGACCTTGAATAAAAATTATTTCAATTGTATGGAGATTCGCTTTAATTCTCTCTCTCTCTCTCTCTCTCTATCTCTCTATCTCTATCTCTCTATCTCTCTCTATCTCCCTCGTTCTTAGAATTCGCAACGTCCGTGTATTCAAGCGTCGTTGAAGAAACCAACTGCGAGCGAACGTAATCGAATAAAAATCGGGGAAACTAAACGTAATGGCATTTGTAGAACAGGAAAAGTCACGAATAATCGGCTCTTAAAAAAAAAAAAATGAAATCGATGGATAACCGAAATAATAAAAAAAACGGGATAAAGAAGAGAAGGGAATGGAGGCAAAAAAGATTTCCAATGAAAATTCCAACTTTCCCATATCATATCATATCATACCCATATCATTTTCAAAGCGCAACGAGACATTATCGAAATCGTCTCCTGCCATCCCCCCCCCCCATCGTATGGCACGTTATTGCAAGAGACTCACCTCGATCGAATCTTTTCCTCTTCTTCATTTGTTTATTTTGTTTTATAATGGACGAATGATGCACGGTTTTTCTGCTTTCCTTTTCGCCGGCAATAATCATTGCGAGAGATATTTCTGGGGAAAAATCGCAGTCGACGTCGCTCGGCCATCGCTATACTTTAGCATCATCATTTTTAATGCCTCGGCCCAGACGCTCGCCACGGCCCAACGAACGACCCATAAAGGCCTATGTTTTTTGCCATGACGAATATTTTATCGAGTGACGCGACTATTTCCATTCTTTATTACAATAAAAAGTCCAATGACAAAAGGCAACTTCACGAATTAATGGACGGCGAGAGGGAGGCAAAGGTGGGAAAGCCGGGCGCGTGCGTTTTCCTCCGATCGATTATCTGCGAAGCGACGACGATACTCGGCCGTCCAATCGCGTGACAAGCCATTATCCATTCGTTGTTTAAGCTCGCCGTGAAAGCTCGACGAAAGAGATAAAATCAGCGGTGCATACGGCGAGCGGAAACAAGATTGTAAATATAATGCGCAGGCAGAGACAGACAAACAGACAGAGAGAGATAGAGAGAGAGAGATAGATAGAGAGAGAGAGAGAGAGAGAGAGAGAGTGGAAGAGAGGGAGAGAGGGATAGAGAGAGGGAGAGAGCAATCAACGCGTCATGATGAACCTCCTGGGGCTGACGTACCTGGCCATCGGCTTGGCGGTCTGTCACGCGCAGTTCGTTTTCCCGGACCAGTACGAGGCAATGAAGCTGGAGGCTGAGAGGCGACTTAGCACGAGACCGACGTACCCGCAGAGCTTTAGCGGCGGCTCTCAGTCCCTGAGCTTGGCACCGTCTTCCTTTCCTTGGAGGCAGGAATCCACAAGGCCGTCCCACCTCTCAATAGCCAACGCTCTCCTACCCCCCGGATGGCAAGACTATGTATGACCCTTGGCCTTGTCCTTGGGGCCGTTGGCTCATTTCCTTGCATTTGTCAGTGTGCGTTCGAAGTTTTGTCGTTACCACGAGCCGCTCACCGGCGATTCATTGGCTTTTGAAGCTTTTGAAAGCCCGGGGTAGAGGCTATCGGTAGTGAGTGTTCGTGGTTCAATTACATTGGACGCGAGGGTTGTCCGCGTGGCGTCCGTAGTTGGCAAATCGAAGGAAAAAGCTTACGCAGCCCCGAGGGACCTTGCAATAGCGAAATAACATACGATTTTTTCAGGTAATAAATCTCATATCGACGGGAGTTACGCAATTCACCCTCGATATGGATCGCGCTGTCGACAATGCGAGCTCCTCCTCGTCGAGTCGTGAAAATGTGCTTTTCTCACCAGTTAGCTTAACAGCTACACTGGCGATGGTGCTCCTGGCTTCCGGTGGCAAAACTTTCGAGGAGGTCACGAGAATTCTTGGACTGCAATCGGGTGTCGATATTTCCAATCATTCCGAGGTTGTGCATCGAATTTTTGGCTTATTGATTCAAGAATTTAACGAGGACTATCGCGCTGACAAAAATATGCCACAATGCGAAGTTGCATTCGGTATTTTTGTCCAGGTATCTCTCGCATGCATATTAAATTACATTATTTATCTCCTTTTACTTTTGCACTCGATGCAATGCTTTTCAATATTCTAGTCCCATTCACTATTCACACTCTAAATTTACTTTTTTTTTTTTTTTAGACAATTTATCATTTTTTAGTAAGTTATAGTTGTGAGAAATAAAGCTTTCTTCCCCTCCTCCCCTTCCTCTTCCCATTCAACATACTGTTACGTACAAATAATAATTAGTCACTTTGAAAAGCTTGCAAAGAAAATTCGAGCATTATTCTTTACTGTAGAATAAAAGTCATCTTACTTTAATGTACTCCCATACATAATACGCAGACTGTCCTTTTCATTATATGCACATTTCTTTATTCAAGGCCGTTCATTTAATCTCAACGATATACCGATAAATTTAATTTTACCAATGAGAATTTTTTGTAATATGTTTTCTTTTTTTTTTTTTAATAAAGTGCCTTGTTTTACGTCCAATCGTGGAAAGGGGGAAGGGCATTTTAAACGATAGGAGTCCTTTAAAGTCTCTAAATAATTGGTAAAATATCTTTGCTTTGCGTGACACGGGAGTATACAAATGTATTAATAGCGGTAATTTTCGTAAGATTAAGTACAATAATTTGTCCCGTTAACATCATCAATTACATAACTATACGACAACTATACACATGAACATGATTATTATGATTATTATAGAATATATATGACATTTCTATACTATAGGATGGCTATCCTATTCGTAAAGAGTTTCGAGCCGTTAGCGATAAAATCTACAAAAGCGATGTGACGAGCGTCGATTTTTCCAATCATAATGATAAGGCACAGTCGATAATTAATAATTGGGTGGACGACAAGACAATGGGTAAAATTAAGAAATTGCTGAACGAGCCGCCAAATCCTTTATCCGCAGTTATTATTGCATCCGCTTTATACTTTAATGGAGAGTGGAATCAGCACTTTTACGAAGGAACGAAGAGGTTTGTATTATTGTTCAAGCGAAAAAAAAAACGATTTTCAATCAATCTTATTATTGATCATATAATTCTTATATAAAGTTTGCTTTGTGTACAGGAAGGCATTCTATATCGAGCCGAATGAAATTATTTACGTGGACTTCATGTACAACGGTGGTACCTTTCCATTTTACGAAGACCAAAATCTCGGCTTAAAGATCATTGGACTCCCATACAAGGGCCTTAAAGTAATGGTTTTCATTGACAATTATTTGATCCTTAAGGACATTCGTTAAAACAAGCTCAGCAAATTTTTGCATTAACATTAAGGATTAGGAAGTATTCGATCATGGGATTACCAACGACAATCATAATGCGTCGCCGTCATTCGCTACTTGCACAATTCGCAAACTTGAGGAGACGACGACGGTTCCCAATTATATGCAAAATGCATTTACAAAATTCGCATTATAATTGTATATTGAAGGCAAAGCCAAGTTGGAATTCATTTAAATCGAGAGTTGCATGTTTACAAGGGCTATCTATATATATATATATATATATGTATATATATATATATAAAGAGTCATTAAATTAATTATCAAATAATTAGATCGCTAATCGGAAATTCCAATCTATTTACGTAATGCCACTGTTTAAAAAGAACAACAAGTTCAATAATTTACTCATTTCGATAATGTTGCATTCAAATTCAGCTCAATTTGCGCGATTAAATAAATAGTTGCAGTAAAAACTTGAGACAGCGACATAAATAAGCTTATCTAACGATCGCTTTATACGTTGTAAAATCAAATCAGTGATATGGGGGGGGGGGGGTGTTTAAATAGTCAATTGTCACATTAATAATTTCCATAACGATTAATCAATAAATGTTAATGGGCTTGGAAGGCGCACACGTTAATAATAATTTGCCCGTTAAAAGCTTAGGAGGCTTGCATAAGCGGCGATTCTTTAAATTATTGATTCGCAGGTATCTATGTACGCGATCCTTCCAACGGCAAGTGGCGCTGCCGCCCTCAAGGAGATCAAGAGGCACCTGACACCCGACGTCATTGACCGTCTCATAAACAACATGCAAAATAACTCGTGCTTAATCAGCTACCCGAAGATGGAGCTGTCGAGCACCCTACAGCTTCGGAGTGCTCTCAAGTCATTGGGCCTCCTCTCACTCTTCGATCCCAGAACCGCCGACCTAAGTATCCTATCCCCAGGTCGCGGTCACGGAGACAACGTCGACGGCGGCCCCGCATTCATAACCTGGAGGTCCTTGGATCCCGACTCTACCGACGATTACAGGCGTCAGTCCAAGTCAGGGAGGCCGAACTTCCTTTACAAGTATAACACGCGTAATTACACGGTCGAGCAGTGGAATAACGGTTACAAGTTGCGTTACACGCCGCGCGTCAAACGTCAGAGTCGCTCGGTCGAGCGGGAGTTCGCCGATTTCCTCGGGAGCCAGCGGTTGGCGCTCTTTGGGCTCGATGAGCTTCGGAATAGCGCCGGGGTGACGAACCCGGGCTTGTTCGCCGACGACGTCGTTCACAAGGTCGAGATGACGGTGAACGAGAGGGGAACCGAGGCCGCTGCCGTGACGGGTGTCCTGCTCAACAGGAGCGGCGATTATAGGCGTTTCATCGCCAATCGGCCCTTCCTCTTCTTCATCAGGCACGACCTCTCCAAGCTCATTTGGTTCTGGGGCAGCATCAATCGGCCTACGCCCTTTTACCACGATCCCTGATACCCCTTTCGGTGCCTCAAACGGACGGTCTCCTCCTGTCTTTCTCATCCACTCGCACTTGTCGGATTTAATACTCGGAGACTTTCCTCGGCACATTTTCGACGCTCGATCGAGGCACTTTCGATAATAGCTGGCTTTTACGATTCAGCCACGACCGTGCGGTAGGGAACGTGGGAAAAAGCTTCGCCCCTTTCTATCTCACACGCTTATCCTTTGTCCCCTTTATTACGTCTCGTTCTTACAGCTTCTGAATTCTGAAGAGGGGGAGGTTTCGTTTTCGCCCATACCATATATATAATTTTGCACAGACGTGCATGTCTGTATCTATCTAAGCCCTCTCACTTCTTTCGTGATCTAATTTATTAATTCATAATTCAAGTATTAACAATCTTACGGATGGTAATTTACGTGCAATTGCAATTGCAATTGAAATGTTTTAGAACAATGTAGACATTTTACGTGTGAAAGAGGGATTTATTTTTAATAATTCTTCTATCCACGATTCTACAAACATACAATTCCTTACGAGTGGACAAAAATAAAAGAAAAAATGATGAAGAAAAAAGAAGAAACAAACAGAATGAAAGAGGATGAAAAGATAGCAATAATAACACATATTATTAGAGTATTCTTAATAATAACAAACGAATGTAATTATTAGTATAAGACAATTTATTAAAAAGACAACAAAAAAAAAGAAAAAAGAAAGAAAAAAGAAAGAAGAAGAAGAAGAAGAAGAAGAAGAAGAAGAAGAAATGTATAGTTCATTATAATTTATACAGATTTACGAATGTAGCATTCTCTTTTTGAATTATTACGATAAATCTTATGCTTATGTGGGTATTCTAAATTAGCGAACAGAGAAAATAATTAAAATGTATTCATTTACTTGTTCATCAAGTTATTAATTGCACGTTACATTTCACAATGATAAAGTTTACGATGCAATTATTACTTTTATATAGCGCGCTAGAAAGTAATTATTACACATAGATAATACATGTATAAATGTAATAAATTTAATATTCAACGTAAATGTTTTTGTATTTCTATTAAAACTGTCCCTTTTATTCGTATATAATGCGAATTGCGTACAATACTGAGCTACAATGAATTTCACGTTGCCTTATTACAATAGGAGCATTTTTATTATGATTATTTTGTACCTTATCTTTTCCTTTTGCCCAACTAGAATAAAAGTTATTTACATGATTGTGATATCGTGACAATTATTTACCTTTGGGAATTGCGGCGTTAAAGGAAAGTGGCGATAAGCTATTTAATGGATACCATATAATTTAGCAGCCAACTGAGTAGATTTAATATTTACAGCTCTTCAAATTCGCCAGCGGGCTTCGCGAGGTTAAAATCTAGCATCTCATCGGAGGTAAGAAACCGCACGTCACTGTCCTCGGAAAATGCCGATCCACTAGAGCCTCTTTTATAAGAGCCTCGCTTACGAAGAATGACAAGCGCCACGATCGTAGCTATTGTCACTCCCGTCAATATTCCAATAACAATACCAATGATTCCAGGAAAGCTAAGGGCCCCGGTCGGCTCCAGTTGCCTAGTGTCCTGAATAATCACGTGTGCCGCTGAAATAATAGTTAATTGTTTATTTTGTATATTAATACCGAGCCTTTGACTGTCAAAATAACTTGTGCCAAGATAATGATTTGTCGTTACGTAGCGACGATTCGACTGCTTTTGAATCCACCTCGATCTGTAAATGTCACGTGGATAAATTGATCGTTTCGCCGCATGTAAACACGAAGCCATTCGGTGCAGGCTACCGGGGGCTATAATGATAATAACACAAATGCCTTAGATCTCATAACATTATGCTTTCTATAATGCCTGCGCGATTATTTATTTTACTAATGGCTGTTAATATCCTTTTGCAGCTTGTCGTGTAATTTACGATTATTACAGCCTATGTGAGGCCGTGTAAATGAGCAAGATCCTTTTAAAGGATAGACGTTAGAAATATTTGTAATTTACGCGATTCGACATAAATATACAAATTTTCAAATACAAAGAATATTTCAATTGGATAAAAAATCTCTGCTTATCAAATATAAATTCAAAGAAAATTCGAATTCTCAAGCAGTTCAAAAGCAAGTTATATAGGAATGATAAAGATGCAAAGTTGTACGTAGAATGTATTAGAGCATCGATGCTCGATTGAAGGTTCACTTAGAGAATTATCATTAGTAAATGGTATTTATTGCTTTAAGTCATTCTGGAAAAAGTCATTTTAAATTCTACAGACGTTTTTGTTACTTCGCCTTGTACTGTCAATAGCAACGATAAGGAGATTTTATGCCGATAAATTGTAAAAATAAATTATTATGACAATTATCGATCGTCTCGCCTACTTATTACAAATATTGTCAATTGTACGATATTTGCACAATACTGTCAATTAATTTAAGTCACTTAATTTAATTCACATTAAATTATCATCTAATTGAAATGATAAATAAGTTGTTTAACTTTTTCCTAGGCCATACTTATTGTTAATAATTTAACATTGATTATTAGAATATTTTATTTTTTTATTTTTATTATAATTCAATGGATATGGGGCAATGATTAATCAATGATAAATAACGAAGGATGAAACTTTGTTTATCTAATCTATCTTAGTATAGTATTATTATATGGCCGAGACTAAGTAAGCGATAAGTATGCGTAATGAGGTACAGTTCACTAAATATTTAAGGTGTCATTAACATAATTATAATATCAAGCGCATCGCGCGAAATGAAAGAATAATCAAGGAAACATATGAGGAATGAAAATTTACAATAACGATCGAACAATGCTTGGCAGCAGCTGAAATAATGATTAATCATTATAGGCGTATTAGATAATTCGAAAGTCAAAGGTTTAGCGTAACTACACGATGCACTTGTACGTATGTTTTTACCAGTTTGCGTGTGTGCATTGCCGCTTGATAGTGTTGTTTCGTGTATGGGAATGAAAAACGGAGTTTCTATGTTAACCGCCGTTGTCGATGAGCTTGTAGATGTTCTCGTCGATGCTCTACTAGTTGCTCTTGTTTCGGCATTTGTTCCGCGCCTTGTTTTAATAGTTGTAATTTCAGTTACAATATTTGTTGGCATTTTAGAATTAGTTGTATTATCCTCCTGTTTAGTTGTTTCGGCGATTGTCATTGCTTTTTGCGTCCATGAAGGGATGACTGCCGGTGTAGATGAATCTTTCGATACCGAAATATTGGTCTCCGTGGGTTCCGAAACATCTAAAATTTTAATAAAAAAAATTCCTTTTTTTTTTAACGAATTTTAACTCTCACGCGCAAACTCTCTTTACTCATAATGAATATTTTCATTTATCATCATTAGCTGCTGTTTATTCCTCATCTAAGCTTGTAGTATAATCGATCAACGCAGTCTTGCTTAAATGTTATATTTTACGGGTAAAATCATTAAATGGAGACAACAAATGCTATGAATTAGGATTACGAGCGAATCGTAGGATGAAGTGAAATCAATATATTTACGAACGAGATGTACCATAAATACAATATTCGGCGTAATCCGGGCAGCATGATGAATTGTCAGCGCAATCCAATGTGCATTCGCATATGTCTGGACTCGAATAAATTTCGTACATCTGAGAGGATTCTGTAAGTGAATTAACACAACGGTCTCGACAACTCTGCATTCCATTGAACGCTTCTACTTCATCTGAAAATTGCATCAACGATAAAGAGCGACGAATATAAATGGCCTCGATAGTTAAAGCTCGTGGTGAGTTTGCTTACCGGCATTGGGAGGTACGTTGGTTACGTTGATCGTAACATTCTTAACGTCGCATTCGTCTCCTTGCAAAATGGCGACATCATCCACGGCAATGTCGCTTACGTATCTTGAGCCACGCACCCCTTCAATAATTATCTGCCGATAAAAACTTCGATATAATACTCCGGCAATGAATTTGCCGATACTTATCATAAACAATATCCTACCTGAAAGCTATTGTTTACGGCGGGCAATTCGAATAGGCCGTGAAGCCACTGGTTCCCCTGATTTCCATGCTTCGACCACACGAGCTTCGGAATCTTCTCCATCTCCGATTTAAAATAGACATTAAGGCTTCCTATCGTTGCGCCGTACATATGATACCTTATCGATAAACGACAATTAAGACACACTTACGACACGATATTGTCGCTAATTTTAGATAAGTCAGTGCTTTATTATTACCAGAAGGAAAAGCATCCCGAATCCGTGAGGTTGGCTCTATAAAGAGGCGATAATATTCTCGCCGTATCGTTCACTAAGCGTCCGGATGCTTCGATGTACAAATAATATCCTGTAAATATCATTGCATCCGTGTTAATAAACGAAATTTTTCTATAATTGACTGCGCGCAACGCTAATGCGAAGTAATAATTTGCGAATGCAAATAAGACGTATGTGCTCATTGTTTCGACGAACTACTATCTTAGAGAGGGATGCTTTATTGAAATTATCAATTAAAGATAATTCACAGATCGATTATCCGTTAAATCCGTAAATTAATCAAGAAAGTCCTTAAAGACATTATTTCTCGGATGAATCAATCACTCGGACACGATCATCAAATTGATAAATATTAATGTTTTGTAATTTCGAGCACCGAGTATGTTGCTTATGACTTATTTTGTGGCTGCACATCTACACGGAATTACGTAGAGTAACGTGAAGGCGCATTGTTAAAATGTTCAATTAATTCTGACAGAAAGTAGAGCATCGCGAATAGCGTAAGACAATTTATATGATTATACGATTTTTCTTTCTGTCTTCGGTGTTTTTGCTTTGTCTTGAATATTGCACGAATGGATCAAAAAAAACAAAAACAAAAAAAAAACAAAAAAAAAACAAAAAAAAAACAAAAACAAAAAAAAAACAAAAACAAAAAATAAAAAACAAAAACAAAAAACGTGAAAGTATTTGACGATCGAAGAAACCGTTGAGATACCGTTGTGCAGATATTTGCACAGTACTATTACTACTGGAGCGTAATGGTGCTTCATTGTGTTATTCCCGAATTGTCCATGTTTACCATAAGCGTAGCAATTCTCAAGAATAAAACACAAGGCATGTAACTATCGCTTGATCCTTAGTTACAGCCAGCAAGATCATCCACATTATAATGAGAAAACCATTGATGAGTGTACCATCTTTTCCAAATCCCAGCGTGTGGTCGTAGGTCGGACCCGTCCCAATGTGCGAGCTTGGCGTCTCGAAGCGATGTCGAATCCAGTCGAAGTCGTGTTTCGGATCCTGTTCCCACCAGCAGAGACCCTCTTTTTCGAAATCGCAGGAAGTCGGCGCGACAGCATTTGAATCTGAATGGGTGCACTCGCTTAATCACGTTTATTATTTCAGGTGAGATATTAGGGCTCTATGGATTTGTGCACGCATGCTCAGACTTTGGCTATAAGCTGGAATAATGCCGCTCGTGCGTACGCGCCGTGTGGCTTTAAGAGATTGATTTTACCATGGGCCGATGGCATTTAGATATCCTCGCTCGTTTATATTAGCGATAAACGTTGCGATAAAGATATATTTGCGGTCATGCGTCGCGGGTAACATTCATCCCTTCGCTCCACAATGACTCGGAAGTAAATTTTCTTATTCGTGTATATTTCTTTGGCTCGTATCGCTTCTTTTGCCATTCACATTTACTCTAAGTTGTCGAAGCTTCACGTGGTCAATGGTCAATAAAAACAAAAAAAAAAATTTCATTTCACGCACAATGAATTGCGAGCTTTGTGCTTTTAAAATAACGTAAATATCCTGGCTAAAAAATATCGTGTACCTGAATCCCAAGGAGGAATAAACTATTGATTTGCTCTGTTATAATTTATCACCTTGCTAACTTAATTCGGAATTTCAGCGTATTAGGGTTGCAATTATTTAAACCCATCGAAAAGTCGGCGAATATTACGTTGACAAGAGAGAAAGATTAGCCGTTAATGCTTAATTAGATTAATAAGTAAACATATGGGAGTAGTAAAGCCGAGACAGAGTGAGAGAGAGAGAGAGAGAGAGAGAGAGAGCGAAAAATAAGGTTAATTTAAATAAATTTGCATTTAAACTTCGATACACCTTATCAAGCCTCTAAATGGAGCAATAAATTTTTTTCTTCCTTCGTTACCGATACGGCTCGGTAAATTTTCATTTAAATTACGTTGTTATGCGCGCCAAAGGCGAGAGACGCTCGCTCATTCTCATTTTTTCGTTATTGTTGTTTTTAAATGCGGTGCCTATTAAGCGTGTATGAGCATGCATACGTCAATGTTGACGTGGCCGTTATCGATTTCTCTACCTCTCCTACGACCATCGCGTGCCCAATAATCTTTGAGAATTTAAATAAGTGTCTCCCGCAAAGAAAATACTTTTTGTTTCAAATAGTGTTAGCGTAGTGCTATTATCAATGGCTGATATAATAAATTTCTGACAATAAGCGTAGTAAATTGTTGTAAATGCGATGCCGTGACTTTCCTATTTTTAAACGGATCATCGCCCAACTCAAACGTCTGCACGTATATCCCTCCCAATATTTTCAATATTATCCCCATTTGCCGCAGACTCGCTAAAGAAATATCGTATGCTCATGAAATATTAATATCCGTTGCGCTTTTAATCTCATAATCTCTTAGCCTTAACGATCGTTCACTCGCAGTGACTAAGTGCAAGCAAAAATAAGCGTCTCGTGGAAATGTGCGACTGCAATGCCGAATGCGCGTATCCGAGGAGCAAACGAGGCTCAAAATTTGAAAGCCCATTATCAATATGACGATTCTAATCCGGGAGGGGCGGTGGGGAGGGGGGGGCGGCGGTGGTGGAGGAGAGCATTGGCTGCTGCATTGCCAATGGCGAATGCCGCGGGCGATATGGTAAATCAGCTCTATCTCGATTATCGTTGCGTGTGCACTCACGACGGCCGTGCAATGTCCGTTCGGAAAATCTCCAAACTATGCGATTGACGCGACGAGACATTCGGCTCGCAACGAAAGTATAAAGTGGCGTTAGGTCTGCGGTGATAAAAAAAAAAAAAAAAACAAAGAAAAAGAAAAAGAAAAAAGAAAAAATCGTCGATTGATCGAAACTGCCCATTGGATGGTCGCGCGATCATCATCATCGGCCATTTCACAGCTCGTCCTTACCGGATGGACACATCCTCTGTGTCCCGTACCTGCACTCGTCGCTGTGCGCGCATATGTATGTACTCACCACGGCAATAGGGCGCCGTGCCGTTCCACTGACGGCCGTCGCAGTAAATTTCGGCGTTGCCCACTCGGACATAGCCGGGCTCGCACAAGTACATCAATATGGCACCCCGGTACTTCTCGCCGACGACCGCGTGCTTCGGCACTGGAATTGGGGGACAGCGGGTGCCTGGAAAAATCGAGATGTCGACATTGTGAAATTCATTTGCCTACCTTCTCACGCCTTAATTGCGTTTAATACGATGTCTATGTAATAACGCCACTTATAAATTGCCAATAATATATTTTTTTCAATTATACATATATTTTCTGTTATACATATACATATATACACGCATATTTCCATGACGATTTATGGGCCTTACACGAAGCAAGTTGCTTTTAGCTTTTAGGTCGCGCATTTCATTACTTGGAAATTTTTAAGCTTCTTTAACGATGTGACTTGGCAGGCTCTTCTACGTGTTAAATGTGACGTAGAAAATCGAAGTGATTGTCTTGTTTGAGAATTTGACGGGTCGATAAGGCTCGCTCGCCTAGAAATATGTAAACAATGACTTTTCAGGGATGCTAATTTGATTAATTTTGCAACACTTGGCTATCGACGGAAGCACGAAGATAATTTATTAAATTAAGCAAGAATTTATATGCCTGCAAGTCATATCAAATACAATATTTGTATATATATATATATATTTTTTTTATAATTGAGCTTACTTTTGTAAATCGCCGAAGATTGCTGTATTGAATTCGATCAATGAATTCTCATTAAATGTGAGAAACATGTTATTCGCTATCAAATAACATTACGGACATAATTATATTATTCATATACTTAATTATAGCGTAACTTTTAGAAATATTAATCTATTGTTTATCGTGTGCTTAAAAGTTTGAAGAAAAACTCGTGCTTTAAATGAATTATCGCGAGCTACATGATTGTATGAAAACAATACGCGAATACTTAATAATTATCGCTTAAAATTACATGTTTATTTTGTAAAGCAAACTAGATGTACGCGCTTAAAGAATATTTAATATTACGTAATATCATTTTACGTTTTCATTATACGTATTTGAATTTCAGGAAGGTTAACTGCGTTGAATACTTTTATCATGATTATTATTTATCTAGTTTCAACGCATGTTTCTCGGCATTTCCTTGCCATTGAATTATTATTTATTATTATATTTCGACATTAATAAATTTTGTTAGCTAATCATATAAACACGTTCTCATCTATCTATTTATCTATCTACTTAAACTTAATTTTCATATGAATGTACAAGATAATTGTGAACAAAGCATAGAGTGTCATGCATGTCTCGTAATTCGAGTGAATAAAAGTTAGAATGCCGACGTTAAATTTAACAAAATTGAATTCTCATAAATTAATTAGCGCCTCATTTTCAATTGTAAAAAATTGATTTTTACAATTCTATGATTTTACTATACGTTGTTTTTTCTTTTTAAAAATTATTATAATGAATCAATGCTTGAATTGATTATAAATCTCATTTTTACTTATAGAAAAGAATAAAATTATCAAAATATTATAGAAAATTTCTTATAAAAAATATCTTATTAAATTATCTTCAATTATTTACTTTAAAAACTCGTATACGAGATTGCCCGTCACATATTTAAACTTTGTATTACGTTCCAACATATTTACTAATACTGATGTTGTATTAGTGATGTAACATATGTAACATATATGTCATAGAATTATTTAATTAAAAATCTAAAGTAAAATTACTACGGTAATTAATTTTCTTAATAAGCTAATTCGTTTAAGGAAATAAATAAAATACGAGGAGCAGTGAGATTGAATATTTAATAAGAACTTTTTAAATGGCTTTCAATTTTAAACAACAGCCACGAATATTAAATTATTAATATTGCAAATTGTTGTATTTATTACTTCTTTTTCTTTTGTTTTGTGTTGATTATTTAGTAAAAAAAAGTTCACAGCTTTAAATGTACGTGACTGATTATAAATGTGCGTAAGCATGAATTCGTGCGCGATCGCATGTCATCGATATTGGAGATAAAATAATTCCATTTAATATGTACCTTAACAAAACAATTTTTTTTTTTTTCATTTTTTTTTTTTTTTTTTACAAATGATTTACATCGTGTCACGTTAAAGATGTAGCTTCCTTTATAAATCATTAAAATAAATAAAATTTCAAACGAACATTGTTCTACGTAGCCACATAAACACAGCCAAAATTAGCCATGAAAGTTAACTGAGTAGTAATCTTTTCAAGTAAAATATATCTCTCGGTTAAAACAGTCTTGAATTTAGATTTTGGAGTTGGTATTTCTCGAGAGAATTCGCGAGATAGAGGAGGTCTTTGGCGAATGTGGTAATGAGAGTATATAGGCGAAACAGGCGAGTAAATAATAATAAATTTGATTTTCTCATACGCCTAAAAGTTTAATTGTAATTACCTAAGGTAATTAAATAAGCTCTTGTTTCGAGTGTTTGAAGTATTTTTTAAATTGGAGCTGCGTAATTTAAAAAGTAAATTTTCAATTTTAATATCGTAATTAATGTATGAGCGGTTGATGATTGTGATAAAAGTATGAGAGTATGTAAAAAAAATCTTGGATAAAAAAAATACTTACTGACACAAATGGGAGTTGGTGTATCCCAGGAGCCTCTGATGCAAGTCGAATATTTATTACCAACGAGCTCGTATTGAGCATAGCAGCTGTACCTGATGATCTTCCCTCGTCCTCTCACTCGAATTCTTCCGTTTATCAGTCGAGGATTTACACATTGAAAGGAGTCAGCTATCGGGCAATAATTGATGCGCTAATTATTTAATAATTAAAGCTACCATGTGGGCAGCGGACGCGTTCAGCAATTCATGGGATACGACTATCGCGTCGTATTGTTACTTTATATGCGCAAATACTATGGAGGAAAATATTCTACAATATAGTTGATTAGGCATAATGGAGGTAGCGGAGAGACAATAAAGGATTTATCGAAAGTGTCATTATTCATATATGTATATAATTTATTAATATAGTTTATTGGCAAATATAGCTGAAACAACGACGGCCAGAAGAAATGCGAACGATTACGTAAGAGATTGTGCTTGCGAGTGGGATAATATCAGTAGTAATAAAATTTAGTATCACGATAATTTTTACTCGTTGTTGAGGCAAAATATTTCATAAATTATGATAATAGTGCGGAGGAAACTTGAAGCTATTAACGAGTGTATGGATGGCCGTTAATACATTGGCTGCGTGCATAATTGAGGACAGTTTGGGATGAAACCAGATGGACTATGAAAATACACGCCTACAGATGCACTTGCATAAAGTATGGATTTTCGTACGAGGCTGTGTGCGCTCTGTAGATGCTTAAGACACGTAATTTTCATTTTCCAATTTCGCTGTAGAGCATGATAAAAGCGCTCGTCATATCAATAGTCACGAAGTAACGAAACCCCACTTGCGTCGCGCATTAATTTGCTATTGGTGACTGACTCAGTGCCGCAATGACCAACTCAAAAGCAATGGACGGATTTCAAATCTTAACGGCATTTTATCCGCTTCGAGTTTGCCAGTTTAGCTTGCACAGTGTACTTATTACTCCGGCTGCGTTCAAAGAGTCGATTTACCCGCCCCCTTTCTTACGTTTACGCGCGATTCTTCATCTACTTTCCTACAACAAAGTCATGGGATAATTCCCGAAGTTTCCCAAAAGCCCCGACTCCATCGAGACATTAAGCTTCAAACTTGTCTTTTTATTCGTCGAGCGATGGGTTTTAACTAAAGAGCCGAACTTCTTCTCTCTCCTCCAGCTTAATTGTCACTACTTTCCTTTCATCATTGCTGTCCGCCGCATCTAAACGACTACGCACGACTTTCCCTTCGGCTCTATTAAAACTAAGCGCGCTCAGTTTACCAATGAAAATGGAAACACGTAAAATTGACCAGAGCCATGAAAAAGTGAAAAGTGAGGCTGAAACTTACAAAGTGAGCTGCGAGGACTGGATGCACACTGCGTAATAATGAAGAAAATGAGAATAACGATGCACCTCATAGTGGCGATTTATTTATTTTCTGTCTCATACACTTGAACGGCTTTTAAACACGATCATTGCACTTTACGGGTCATCGCGTATTGTCAGATTTGGGATAATTTGAAAAATCCAAATGCCCCGACTAACACCCCAATGATATTGCAATTAACCACGCGAAATTTCCTCGCCAAGGAGTCGCGAGCGAAGAAATAAAAAACAAAAAACAAAAAACAAAAAACACATACACACAATCGTTAATCGGCACGTGAATGGTACCGAAGCGAAACTGTTGGTTGTAAGAATCTTCTTTTTCGTTGAACCCTCTCGGACAGTATAGTCGAATAGTATGGGTGGACTAGCTCGAAGGCGGAGACGCAGCTTCCGGCGGTGTGTTCACGCGATTTCCTCTTATCTGCTTCCGCTTTCCCTTATCATTAGTTAACGCTGTATGTCAGGCCTTGAAAGGAGTTTTTCAGTAGTAGCCAAATCCCAATAGGACTCTGATGATCGGTTTTTATTCTCTCTCTCTCTCTCTCTCTCTCTCTCTACGCTATGCCATTAAAGTTTCCCTTAACCCGCCCAAAGAAAACTTTGTAACGGAAGAAGCCCAACTTCAATACGCCTTCGAAGCATCCTCGCATACAAATTGACCGTTTGGTCAATTACTCTTTTTCCATTCGGAGATAAATATAAATGCATATAGACGTTCGACTGTGAACGAAACATAAGGAATACACATCAATCGTGCTTAAATAGTTTGAGGAATGGGCATGTTTCTTTACTAAATAATAATGAATAATTAGCAACTCCCGGGAATTCGTGTTTCCTGTGCGCTCTATACGACTTCGAAGTTATTCCGATAACGGTGTGAAATATCCTGTACATTTTTTTTTTACTTCTATCGTGTTATTGTATTTGCTAATACATATTTTACTATTTTATGTTCTCGGAATAATTGAAACAGAGTGCTTCGACCTTAAAAGATATTGTTGCTTTGATTATCCGTTAGTAGGCAATTATGATATTTTTAAAGAGTTTTCAAAATTCATGGAAACAGCGTTTGTGAGAATTGCTTAAAATACAATGTAATTTGAAATGAAATTATGTGTAAAAGTATGATAAGAATTTTTCTAACATTTGATGTGTTGTACATAAGAGTTTAGATTCGAATTGTTGGGATACAAAAATGGCGTGTGATATTTATAAAAAAAATTATATCATAGATATAGGGTGTTATCGGGGATAATTAAATTACTTTGCTAAAATTAATATTACCACAGATTTATAACAAAATAAATATGCGTGTATTTATTTGTTACACAAATTTTTTTTTTTTGAAAAATAATAAAGCTTTTAAATATAAAAAGTTGGTAATCAAAATTATTTGTTCAATTTTTTTTCTGAACTATTCATTATATAAATTATATGCTATGATTGCCGTTTTCAAAACTAAGAACTTAACTCTCACCGCCTACATACGCATACATATAAATACGTACACACGCACACACACAAATATATACACACAAATATATACACACATTATATATATATATATATATATATATATATATATATATATATATGCATATATGTGTATATAAAAATGTGTGTGTACATATGTATATTTGAGTACATTATTCTTTGATTCTCAAAAGTTACATAAATAAAGAATAATCTTCATTTTCACATATATTATTCATATTATTATGTTTTTGCTTTTAAACTAATAACGATTTATTTATAATACAATGATTAACTTTCTCTATAGTTTAACTATATATATTTATATTCTTTTTATTTCACGGCCTGTTGGAATGTATAAAATGATTCATTTGATTCTGGTAATCATCATTTATCTTATAATCCTAAAAATAAACGTGCATTTTGATCAATTTTTGATAATTGTAATATTAATCATTTTAGTCGTCAAAATATTTTTATTATTGTACCTCATTATTATTATAATGATTCGGTTGATACCCGACCTGCGAGTATAAAGAAGATGGAAATTGCTTTTGCATGTGCTGTCCAATGTACTTTTTATTACCAACAGCCGAATGAATGGGCATATTGTGCTGAGTAATAAGTGTTTGATTTGATATGCTATTAGGAGCAAAATGAATTGAATTCCTGCTTAATTTGAAAAATTCGTTATTTAAATTAGACAATTTTTGTGCATTTGAAGCAGTTATGTTGCCGACTTTATGAATATTGTCATATTTAAAATCGGAACTAATAATGGATTGAGGTGCTCCTTGAGAATGTAATTGAATTGAAGGCATTAAACATTGCTCCTGATTTAATATTTCGCTTGTAAAGCAGGGCTTTATTATTTGATTGAATTGGTGGCTTGGAATGCTTGGCTTATGTATAAATGGACAAGAATTGGCATCATTTGCATTATAAATTGGACGTCTTTGAGGTACTCTATTTTCCTCAATGGCAATAAACTTTACTGGTTGACATACATTTTGTTGTTGTAATGGCAAGGAATTCATCAAAGATCCTTGATTATGCCGTTGATTTAATTGTTTTCTACACATCTGGCAATCATTTGTTAAACAACAATTGGAATTTTCGGTCCTCTTGAAGATATAATCTTTCGGCTGGAGAATTTGAAAATCATTTGCGGACATACAGGATGCTTGTTCATTGCACTTTTTTACATTGTGTGAATGACCATCATAGTTTGGTTTTAATGCAATACTGAAGCTCTGCGATGAAGGTATTTTATTATATGCTATACACGTTCGATTATTGTAATCCATATGATTTTTCGAGTTATCATTTTGTTGATAATAATAATTAGGTTGTAAATTATAACGTTCCTCTTGGGAAGAATACATACGCTCCATACTTTCTTGGGAACAATTTTGACTCGAGCAGAGAGTCAAACGATTTGCTCTTTCTTGAATATCACCAAAACTTGTCATACGAGTCATGCATTTATTGTCTTGTTCAGAACTTTCTTGTGACAATCGACATCTATGAAAATCTTGTTTAATATCGGCGAAATGTAATTGTTCCTTCAATGGAGACAATTCAAAAGTTTGATTAACAACAAAATGCTTCTCAACATTATTTGGCGATGGGAATAAGTGTCTTTCTGGTGCAACATTTCTTTGAAATCTTTTGTTCTGCATTAATGGAATATTTATCCTTGATGGCTGATTATATTTGGCATTCATGTACATATATTTACACTTTGGAGCTTCCATCAATTGATTAGAAGTTGAATTTCCACAATTTGGAGTACGTTCGCTCTTTAAGCTACTATCCGAATCAAAATCTAATAAGGATGGCTTATTCACTGGATCTCCAATTTTTGGATACTTTTCTATACTAAGTAAAATTTTGTCTCTACTTATGCAATCCACTAAAGCGCGATTTTTTCTTAATATAGCTGGAATATGCTTTGTATTCTTATGTATTAAAAATGAACTTTTAACATTATCATTTACATAAAGTTTGTCCTTTTCCAATTTATGATTATTAAATTCCTTTCCACAATTTCTCTGAATATCAAAAATACTTCTTTCTTTCTCATGCGTGTTATTTGTATCAACATCTTTCAAGTACCGAGCAATAAGTTCTTGTCTTTCTGGATGAATGCAATCCATTTTCAATTCCGTTCTTGCACTCTCTGGATCTGCGTTTACTTTAATTGACGAAGGAATTTCAGCATCACTTTGTTCACCCTTTGATGAACAAACATGTTTTCTTTTCAGATTGTTTTCAATAGTGAACAATGATGTGGAAAAATTAGTTCTTAAATCATCAAAATTTGTGGATACATCTGAATTATTTTCTGAAATCCATATTGGATCTTTTATTTTCAATTCAGAATTTTTCTTCAAAATTCTGGCTATTGCAGAATCGGGCTCTAACATTATTTTTGAATTATCAGAAATAGTGGTCCTATTTACTGAGTGCGAGCTTTCCTCACATACAGAGGTTTTTTGTTGGTGAATATACTCTTTAAATGCATTTGCATAAGTATTTCTTAAAGCAGCTTTTGTAATTTCCATTGGATCTAAAAAATTCAAATTTATACAAGGTCATTTTTTTCTTACAATTGACTTTATTGTATTATATTATTATGTAATAACTTTCATTAATTCGAGATTCAATATTAATATTACTTTTTAACTATTACTACCTCTGTTGCTATTATAAATTTTACAATAAATTAAATTTATTACATAATCATAATAATTATCTACTAATTCATGCAGATATTATTTACAAATATCCATAAAATAATATAGTCGAGATTTATATTAATGGATTGATTAATGAACTTTCTTATTTGCCTAATGAATTTACACAAGTAAATCAATATTGGTCAAAATTGACCATATTGTGTATTTGCATATTGTTGATAGGTATGTTCTAAATATATAATGACAAAGCCATTTATGACAATCATCTAATATATAATTAAACTTTGAGAGCAATTGATAATTTAAAATATTTTAAAATATTTTAAAATATGTAATCTTTAATATAGTCATATAATTTTCTATTCATTTGCATTATCTTTCTAAATATTTTCATAAGCATCAGTTATATTATTTATGTAAAGTTTTACCTTTGACATTATGGCAAAAAATATTTTTAAGATCCTTTTCAGCAATCATTTTACATATTTGTACATAGCACTTAATTAATTTTGGATTTAAGGGATTAATTTTATGATTATTATTTTTGTTATTTAGTCTATTATCTACATCCTTATGTGGTATCTGATCAGTAAAAAAAATAACATTTTCAGGTGTTGATTTTCTGGGAGAAAATCTAAAACAAAATTAAGAGAGTGAAATGTAATTATAGATGTTATGCAAAGTGTAATGACAAGTTTTGTTTGTACCTTATAGGAGCAATGTTATCAAAATGATCATTATTATATTCAGAATTTCTACTATTTACACCAATATTTTCATCTTCAAATAATCGCCTTTTGCATTTTTCTTCTTTTGCAAAGGGTTTTATTACAGGGGATTGGTATTTCTTGGAAGAAAAATTTTTAGCTCTTGTATCGCCATCTAATTTAACCAGCCTCACTTTCCTATTTAACATATTAATGATAAAATTTTGATAAAATTTATTGCATAAATAATGAGGAGTAAATTAGTTATTGGATTTACTATAATAGAGAATGGATTTGAGGAGAAGAAATTAATTACCTTTTTATGCCTCCTAATATAGGACTAGACTTGACTACATTTTTAATTGATCTAGAATCATCTGTACAAGAACTACTTTCTGAAGAATCTTCAAAAAATTTTGCAATATTCATTTTAGTTTGTGAATCTACATTATTTTCTGTAGTATGTTTTTCCTTTTCATCTGGTACACTAATAATATAAAAATGACATAAGATTAAATTACAAGGCTATGAATTATAATTATCCTACAATACAATTAAAAGAATTACCTATAGTTGTAACCGCCACTTTGTAAAAGTTTTAAGGCATCGCTATGTAATATGGCATCTTTTATTTTCTTTTGTGAATCAGAGGCTAAGTAAATAATTAATAAGACATTTAATTAAATTGAACCGCTTCGAAGTGATATGTTTATGAAATAAAATCAAATGTACAATTTTAATAAACTCACGGCGTGTTAACAGCTTTCCTTTTACGCCTCCTAGAAAAAATCCTTTCGTATTGAGCTATAGACATATATCACATTATATAAATTGAAATTGGTTTATAAGAAAAAAAAAGGAAAAAAAAAAGAAAGAAAAAATTTCAATATTATTCAAATTTATTTGTGAATATTTCATTTAAAAACAAAACAAAAAAATAAAAAAGATAAAAAAAGGATAAAGAAAAAAAAAAATTTTGAATAAAAATAAAAATGTTAGAGAAAAAAAAATGTATACGTACTGGTTCTGGTAATATTGTCTCACTAATGATTTTTGTTTTTTTAATCAATGAATCTTGACTTTGAACTACATTTTCCTATATAAATTCAAATTAATTAAACAGTGCATTAGACATTTAGTAAAAATACATGGAATGAAAAGTTCTTACTATTTCAGCCCTCTTTGCAGCAAATTCATTGAGGCACTTCATCAAACTTGTTTTTGATTTTTTCAAATCTGCTGGTCTACTTAGCTATCACATTTAACGATAAAAAAAAATAAAAAAAATAAAAATTTAAAGATAATAAGTAAAAGTGATGAGAGTAGAAAATAGGTAAATACACCGACGATCGCATTGACCGAAGAATTTTTCACGCTTAATATCATATTTATTTCCATGTTCATTCGTCTAATAAACATTGCAACAACATTGTTTATAAAACTGGGAATATAAATTTATAACCTAAAAGCGCATCGATCATAGCAATCGATCGTCAATTAAACCGGCGATCAGTGCATTATTAGGAATGAAAGGAGGATGCTGCGAAGCGACTCTTCGTTCGCCAAATAATAGACGAAAAAATCGGTGAAATAAGCGCGAGATGGTGGGAAGGTAAACATCGGCTGGTCTTACCATGTTGCGTTTTGCAGCGAGGGCATTACGTCTTAGCTCCTCGAGATCCTTCTTACGTTTTTTCTTCTTAATTCGCTCATGGGATTCCTCCGAATCATACATCCTCATCGTCACCTTTCCCATGACATTTAAGATTCGCGCGACCCGCGTCGCACGTGATCCGAGGCCGCCACTATGTCACGAGTTTTTTCCTAAATCCCGCAGATTTGAACGCGTGCATATAGGCTCGCGGTAGATAAGCGCGCGTCGTTCCCTGAATTTATTTATTTATGTTTTTTTTTTATTGTTGCTGATGGTTGGGGAGGGGATGGGGAGGGAGGTGGGGTGGGGTGGAGCGGGAAAGCTCGCTCGAGGAGGCGCCGCGCGAGACGTATTTTCACTTCAGGCGCGTAGGACGCGGCTCTTGTTCATGTTTCGCTCGGCTATCGCGGCCGTCGGCCTACGAGCATTCGTCAGCTCGGGGATTCGGACGTAACCGGCCGTAGCTGTCGAGCGACGACAACACTATTTTCACTTTTCACCAGCCGCTCGCCGACTGACTTGGCTCCTCGCCTTCGCTTTGTTTCCCTTTCGCTCTCCTAGAGCTTTACAGTATATTGCGAGCACTATTGGTATTATATACAGTTTGTAATGACACTCGTCGTGCGTCGTCGTCGTCCTCGTCGTCGTCGTCGTCGTCGTCGTCGTCGTCGTCCTCGTCGTCCTCGTCGTTCTCCTCGTCCTCGTCGTCCTCGTCGTCGTGGTCGTGGTCGTCACTCGTACACCGACTTGTACACACGTTTGAACCTTGCGCTCGTTCCGGCTTTGTTTTGGTTTTTTCGCTAATGGCTCGTGGCGCACGCATTGGTGGAGATGAAAAGACACAACGACGCGCCACTGAATTTAACCTTCAAGGGGATTAAGCGCAGGAATTCGAGGCAACGACTGTTATGTTTTTTCCGCTCCACTCGATTCGCCAAGTTTTTCAAAACTTTATTGGTATTTGCATGGCACATCCTCCCCTCTTGCCAACTTTACACCATTCATATCCCAACTTAATATCATTGCTTTCCCATTCTCGTCAATAAGAAAATGATTTTTTTTTTCTTCTACGTTATTTGTCAAGCGGCCTAAGTAGTTGGCTGCACTTATTTGCTTCTCTTCTTTTCTATTCCACACTTATTTAAAAACAAACTGTTTAGAAAGAAAAAAAAAGCGTTACTTTAACGAGCGGCGTGTTATGTTGTTATCTTGCAAACAAAATATAATATGGAGAATGATCCTCTTTGGTGTATAATATTAATTACTTATTTGACTGTATCTCGCGTAAACGAGGCGCTAATATTAAGATAGACATATTATTATCATACGAGTAATACGCAAGCGTTTAAATTACAATTTGAGCGACATTAATATGCACGCGAACGCAAATGCACGTACACGATCGCGCGCGCTCGCGTTCGTGCGTTCGTGTGTTCGTGTGTTCGTGCGTTCGTGCGTCCGTCCGTCCGTCCGTCCGTCCGTCCGTCCGCCCGTGTGTTTGTGTGTTTGTGTTCGCGCCCGCGCGCGCGCCCCTACGCCCATCCAGCAAAATATTTATATTTATACATAAATGCATATTCGATTGATGATTAGCTTATAAGCAATGGTTTAATTTACCAAAGTCAAATACAGTGATAATCGACACTCGTTTCTCTCTTTGATATTATTTATTCTTATTGATTTTTAACATTTAGAATTGCATGCCGTCGTATGTATATTTTTCAAGGATAAACTTTGGTAAACACGTTAAGAGCAGATTGCCTTAAAAATCCATGTGTTTATACGATAATATTTTAAGTACAATATATGTTCATATATGTATTATATACATTTTAATATTAAAAAAAATTATACGATATTTGTTTCGTTAATTATATGTAATAAACGAGATATTGGAAAATATCAACATTTCGATTAATCTAATGAATTTTTGAGCTCTGATTAGTTGCATTAAAAAAAAAAACAAAAAATTATTTATAATTAACATCATAATTATATCAATATTTTCAATTCGCTCATGCAAATAAATTTCTGAACACTGCGTAGAATATTTATGAGACTTTTTGAAAATAAATTATTAACTAATACATTTGATTGTATTGTACAATTTTCATTTACTTTATTTTAAATTTATTCAAACGTAAATGCAACGATATATTACATTTTGAAATTTAATGAATTATATGTTATTATATTACATTGTAATTTTATGTATAATTAAAACGTAAAACAATTAAATAGATTATTGTAAGGAAGATAAATATTCTGGGATGAATATTTGGAAATATAAATAACTGTATACTTTGCATTATTTTGTCCATAATTTTGAAATAATTACGACTTTATTTTTTAATAATAATTAAACGTATTAAGAAAACGAATTTAATTATTTTATATTGGATCGCTAAAACCATTAATATTAATATTAATATTCCCCGATAGAAATAGCTAATATAATGTAATAAGCTAATATAATAATAAGAATAAATTCATACATTAACATATGTACATATACACATGCGTATACATAGAAATTTTCATTTAGTGGCGCAAAGCGTTTCTTCTTTTTAAAGAAACAAAGTTGCGATGTTCCTCATTTCATGGACAAAATCGCTTTTTTAATTTTTGATTTTTCCAAATTACGAGATCGTTAAAAAGTCAAGTTGAAGTATCAAAATAATGAACGCCGGACTTGTCGCCGTGCATGCCTTAAAATTTAATATTATACAAAATAAATATTCCTAACTATAATTAATTTTTATTAATTATTATTAATTACTTTTCTTTATCTTGCTTTTTTCTTGTACAGATAATCGCATGTAAAGTAAATAATTAACAAAATTTTGTAATAAATTTGTATCAAATGACAATCTATGAACATAGTCGATTATGGCAAACTTTTTATAAGAATAAATTGCGATCCAAATACTTGTAGATGCGTGGAAAACAAAGATAAGGACATCAAATGTTCGGGCAAACATGTTTTGGGGGAATAAAATAATCCTATTTCGTTTATAATTATTAGAGGTAAAAAACTATAATTTAGATTTGGAATAAATTGTTTTATTTACGTTTGAAAATACAATTTTACACGATACTTACGAATACATACATATTTTATACGTAATGCTGCATTTTTATTGTTAACGTTAAAAATTACTCGAAAATTCAATTGACTAACAATAAAAAAAAAAATCTTTTATAACCAATGCCACTAATTTCTTAATAATAAATCTTCGTTCATAAATCTTTAAATTATTATATATTATATTCAAATTTTTAATAAATATTTTATGATTATCGTATTTAACAAGAATGTTCACAAGAGTAAATATAATTTCGTAGCTTACAAAAGAAATCCCGAAAAAGTGCTTTAATGGCTTTCTAAAGCCCCCATACTCCTTAAAAATGGATTTTACTTCCCAGGATCAAAGAATATGTGAACAATGTGATAGATGCAGATAATCCATCCACTGTTTTATAAAATTAACTCATGATTCTGCAGTACTTTTATCATTACAGTTAAGCTATAATTATTTGATACGAACGCATGTGAATGTCTGTGCGGTATCTGTGCACTTGATACATATAATTTAAATTTTACTTCATCATTTCGAAGGGAAAATATTTGAAACTTGATATTCAGATGTAATATCTTTTGTTTATGCTTGTATGAATATGTATGTGTGTAAAATATAATTTAAATATCATCGTATTAAGAAAAAATTATATTAATATAAAATAATAACAATTGCAATTTTCAGAAGAACATTTTTCATTCAAAGATTCATTTAAATAGTTCAAATAAATTTTTCACAGAGCATCGAAAAATTTTCTTATATGCATTCATAATTAAAATAGTATTTTCAATTACATATTTTCATATCCACTAAAAACACTTTTCACCTTAAATGGAATCCTATAATTGTTTTCTTAGTGTAGTATTTTAATTACATGTTCACATAATATTGTTTAAAATGCTTTATTTTTATTTTCTGGCATCTAGGGCTGAAAAATTTAATCCTCTAAGTGATAGTAAATATTTGAAAATGATATTTTATTCCGCTCTACATGTATATATTTTGGAAGCACTCATACAAACCTTAGAAATTTAGTTTACTTAAAGAAATACTGAAAAATATATTGAAATATATAACATTGCTGAATTAATAATTATATCAAAGAATTATCTTTAAATATTCATTTAAATAAATATTTATTATCTCTAATTATTAATTGAATTTTTATTTAACGTGGTGTATGATTTTCAACAAAATTTATACAACTTAAAGACATAAATTATAAGTTGTTTTAGAATTTTAATAATTTTTATTATTTAAAATTTGATTATATGTAATTAAAAAAACAATATTTTAGAAATAAAATGGTTTTTATTATGAATTTTATTCATCCAATGGACATTGAATAATTCTTATTTAACAGTAAGTAACTATCATTTATATATATATATATATATATATATATATATATGAAAGCAAATCAGTGCATTATTCATAAAATATGATATATATCTTAAATTTATTTTATTTATTTTCAAAGAATAGAAAAGACATTTTGGATATTCATTAATATTACGTTTATTCATTATTTCAATAAGATGATATAAATTGGTCTTATGACCGAATGAATGTTAGGAATGAAATTTGATATGAAAAAAAGGGAAACATTATTATTATTCGTTTGAAGTTCATGGAAATTGCACAAAATAATAAAAAAAATAAAACAATTTAAAGATAATAGAAAATACGTTTAGTTTTCCATTCGTCCTATTTGCACAAAAAACGTATTTACTAATGCATTCAAAAAGTCAGCTGTAAATAAAAAATAATATAATTTTTTAATTTTAAAGAAAATTTTTTTCCATTACTTCCTTAGAAATTTAATAATATAAACGAAATTGATTAACTAGAAAAAAAAATGCTATATTTAATAAACAAGATGAAATAATTCGTAATGATTGGACATAATTTTTAAGTAATGTCATTACGGCTTTTTAGGAATGAACTTTCTTGAAGATTGCTTTTTGGTTATTGTAGAAAGTAAACTTTGAACTTGAAGTTTAATATTTCAATCGTCGAATTACATACATCTGCTCGTAAATGGAGTCCGTAAAACTTGGTTAAAAGTTTTTGCTGATTTCTTCTCTAGTTT